TTTAAAATAACATATTAACAAGATACATTTTCATACTGACCTTCTACTTCTGATTTATTTTTTAAGCTCACAACGGTAAATCCACACCAAAAATGTACCAATTTCCCAGCCTGTCCTCCTACAAAAAACGACCAAATAGGTTGATTGTTTAAGCACCTTAGATTACGATCCATAGCCACGTTTTAAAGTGTAGCACCTCTAGTGGTCGTGTAAGAAACAACATGCTCCCGTTTATTCACAAATAACCCTCTCTGGAAAATCCTAAATTGTGGAATAGTTTGGCCATTAAAATGCTTTTAGATTAGATTTCTAGCGAGAAGTGTATATTGTACTTTTAGAATCCACGTCCAGTGGATGTGTAGGATCTATAGTTTGATAGATATTACGAAGATGATTTGAGGCCTCGCCAGGATAACGTGTATGCAGCTTCCATGTAAAGTTAGCATGGGTGAAAACAGTTTTTCCGGTCTCGAAGTTTTCATAATAAAACCGGATATATTCCCCTCACTGTCAAATTATTACATAGTGATATCTTCATTACTCATCCACTAAAAAACATCAGTTTATCCTTGTTCATTACACTATATTGATTGGTTTAAATTGTGTACAATGCTTTTGTGTTTTTAACCTTCAATTCAGAGAAACAAATAGTTGTTTTTGTAGGAGTTTAGACACTACAGTATCCGAAGACACGACACTACCCAGAATCCCCAGCTATCGTTTGGGACTACAACATCCGCCTTGCTGTACAAACCCCGTGTTTAATCATCAAGCCCTGTGATTGGATGTTGGAGTGGCAGTGTGACAAGGTGACGCTGAGCATCAACAGCTCTTTGAAATGGAATGGAACCAGGCAGACTTTCCAAAATTGGAATTGGACGGGTCCAGCCCCCGGCTCCAGCTTACCACCCCCCCCCCAGAACTACACATGCTGGCTATTGTGTGTTTCTTTCACAACTATAGAGGTTTCTCAATACTCTAATTTCCCCTCCTCGACACCTTTCCTCGACTCCGATCCTCGATACTTAGTCCCGCCCACAGGAGATGCGAGCTCTTCTCTGAGCGGTCATTTTAAAGAGACGTCAATCAATGATGACAGGAGGCACAGCAGCCCTCTGTCTGATGGACAGATGTGTTCATGACGACTTATATATTTACTTTTAATTAATTGACAGTGCGATATAATGAGACAATAACAGGCTACAGATGTGGACATATACACACACATATATTTATATAAATATATACAATTTCAGCAGGGCCGCCTTAATGCACGGGCTGACCTGGGATGAAGCCCAGGGGCCTACGGAGATCGGGGGCCTATCATGAGCCAATAAAAAAATTCAATTTTTTTAATTTTTATTTCGGATGATTTTTTAAAATTTTAAATAAACAAAGTCTTGGCTTTCAGAATATGAAACTTTTATTTCCAAAATCACACGATAAATACATTTTTGAAGCTTGTAAAGGGAAGAAGACAGCTCTCCCTCGCCACTCTGCTGTTCTGCTGTTCCCCTCCCTCCGCTAACATTATGAATGTAAGGCGTATAGTAATCATAGATAACACGGTAGGGTCCGTTACAGTTTGTTTTCATCTGGTTTCAAATAAACAAAGTCTTGGCTTTCAGAATATTAAACTTGTTTCGGCAAATTCAGATGATAAATACAACTTTGAAGCTTGTAACGGCATAATTACAAGCGGAGAACGGAGTAACTTGACGTCACAGCAGGCATAACAACAGCCGGTGTTTCCCCCGGGAAACAAACACAATACACAGAAATGCAAAAATACACAAACACACACGTATACACACACACTCGTGAACTTCCCCCAGACCAGTAATCCAAAAGAAAATATCTTCCCTCCGAAGTATTTTGATCATTTGCTCCGCTAATCAATCAGATCGATGGATTCCAGAGATTTTTCTCAAAAATGATGACTCCGAAACAGTCAGTGGGCACCACTTAACAGCCAATCAGAATGAGAATATGTTTCACATGTGACTTATTCAAATTGCGAGTGATTGAGTGACAGATGAAGGTTGTAGGAGAAAATGTCGGTGAAGAAAAAGTTTGAGAGTGGCGCTCGGAAAAGGAAATTGTTGAGGGAAAAGGAGTTTCGAGACAAGCAGCTATTACAAAAATGCAGAAGCTTACAGGTTATTTTAAACCTGTAGGCCAGGATGAGGAAGAAGGACAGATGAGTTCTGTACCGAGCGGCAGCGGTGCCGGCCGCGGCGCCTCGGAGCCAAGTAGGCCGTCTGGTTCTGATAGCGATGGAGTAGCGGGAGAGGAAAAACAGACAGGAGGGACATTATCTGTTGGAGGAGATGGAGAGGACGACGAGGACTTGCTACGTTGAGGGGAGTCAACGGCAACCGGACAAATACATGAGGGAGGCCCGATGCGTCACTCATCTGGAGGAGAGGACCAGGCGCGCATAGAGCAGAGTGGAGAAGTGCGATCACAGCCCAGGTAAAAAAATAGTATACTTTAGTGTATTAGAAATATAATGTAAGTATACAAAAGTGTATACAAGTATACTTCTACTTTTTGTGCTTAATTGAAAGTATGTTTAAAATGTACTTTTAAAAAGTATAATTCAAAATAGATGTCATTTAGTTAAATTTTAATGTACTAAATATAAATATACTATTTCTGAAATACTTAAAGTGGTATTTCAGTGTGCTTATTAAAAGTGTACTTGAAACTAAGTGTATTGTGAATTGCAAGTAAGTACACTTTCGCTATACGTACTACATCGCAAATACTTATAGTAGTCATTAAGTATACTTATCGAAAGTACAATTCTTTTTTTACTATTTTGTAATACACTATTAGCATGCTTTAATAACAAGTACTTAAATACACTTCATTAGAAATGTATTTAAGTACTAAAGTATATTAACTTGCAAATACTTATGTTAGTTTACTTTTGAAAAGTTCAATATTTGCAAGTCATTTGTAATACACTATTAGTATGCTTTATTTAAGTAGACTTGAAAATCACTCCATTAGAAGTGTACATAAGTATACTTACAAACAGTGCACTTTAATGTTAGTTCATTTTAAACTGTACTTCAGTGTACTTTGTTTGTAAGTGTTTATTTTATAACACTTGTGAATAGTGTACTTTGTTTACACCTCTGGGAAGTGTATAGGTCTGGACTATTACCATCATGTAATAATGCACAATGACTGTACTGGTGGCATATTTATAATATATAATTGTTAGTCATTAGCTCCAACAACTAGTTAGCGTTAAACCAGACCAAGGGCTATAAAGTAACGGCTGAAACCGAATAATACTGGACCTGCATCACGTGATGCAGGTCTCACGACGCCCAATCACAATGTAGCAGTTTGCGCGCCAACTGTGGTGGAGCCAAGTGCATCGGTGGACGGACGGTTATTGTTTGAAATTGAGCAGCCAGACTACAACAATTCAACATGTCTCTGCTGGACCTACCAACATTTGGACTGTTCTATTTCCCAGACGGGTCGGTTAGAGTAGAACATACATCTATCATAAAGGATGTAAACAGGGCTGCAAAAGTTACAGTTACCTGCAGGAAAGACCTCGATTTGGAGCAAGGCTGGATAGAGGTGATTTGGCCTGCCAAACGTCGACCGCAAAGGGGTCGAAGCCAGTTGCAGCCAAATTGCTGTTCGTAGGAGGTAAGTTACAAATACAAATGAAATGATTCTGAAAAAATCTTTATAACGTTAGCTAACTTTGGTTATAGTCTCTCTAGAAATGTAACTGATAACTTAATGCTAGTATAAAGAGTTGCTTTATTTTCTAGCTAACTAGCTTGCTAGCTAACGTTAGCTTGAGTCCAATTATGAAGCTCTATTCAGTAAAAATGTGTATAAGGTGGTGGTAAATTATAACGTTAACATATGTTCAAATTAGGGGTGTGGGATATTTATCTCTTAGATAATATCTTAATTGTTATTTTCACATATGCAAATAAGGACTTGTGAGCTCCTGCAGGCACTGAATGTGCTCACCTTGCACTGAAGCTAATAATGCGGCGGTAACCATAATCTGGGTCCTGCGGGGTGTTTTTTCACTCTCAAGGCTTCTTAATATTTAAAGACCTATTAATGTGTCATACTCAGTTAACGGTTATAAACTCAGCTAACTGAAGATATGAACCATTTTTTCCGAATCAAAGCACAAGTCTCACAAGAAGCATCTAAATTAGCCCTGAGCGAAAAAATGCTAACAAACTTAGCCCAGAACTCACGGTAAAAAATAGCCTTATTACTTATTATTTTATATTATAAAACGATAAAAACGCGACTGAAGGTTAGTCCTATGTGTCTGTGTCACTTAGAAAGTATTACTGATAATACTTCATTCAATTTTTATGTAAAAACCGGATAGTTCATATTAGCTGCTAATGATAGCAGCCAGAGCGTATCGCAGCTTCCGGTTCAAGGGTGCAGCACTCATTCACCAATGGGTCTTGTTTAGATGGATTTTAGGAACGTCCCCTCGATTCTATTAGCTCTAACTGTTAAAAAGAGATGTCAATCATCAAAATCGAACAAGGGGGGCCAGAGATAGGTCAAATCCACCCAAATGACCCCAGAAGTGGGTTTTTTTCTCTTCTAAACCTCTAAAAAGGTACAACTGAACTTGTTTTGCATCAATCTTGATACAGGGTACATATTATATGTTATAGTTCGGATTCCTAAAGCTTTTAGTCTACTATCCCATCATTCAAGGGTGGTTTTCACTTTAAATAATGGTTGTTTTTTGGATGGGCACTATAATTTACATTTTACCCTGTATATGGTGTGTGTATCAGTGTGAACAATAGTGCACGAACAAGTGCTTACATTTTGTAATGTCAGAATGAACTGGATCTTGTTCACAGAAGTCTACCAAGAAGTGGTTCAAAAGCGGGATGCTTTCATCCGAGGGGAGGACATATTTTCGGTAGCCGAGTCCCAGAAAAGAGGCAGCAGAAGAAAGACATGTACAGTCAAAAATGTGAAGGACGCTGTACAAAAAACAAACCAAGGAAAGGCAGTAAGTTTGATTGGTGTGTTTTGATGATTGATAGTTTGTGATTGAATGGAATGACATTGACTGATTTTGTTTATTGTTATAAAATTCACTGACAAATAATTTTCCGTTTCACCTTGAATGATATTGACAGCTATGGCTTTTTGTTATAACGCATGTTTTTTTGTATTTTGAGGCCACTACATTTTCATCCTACAATTACCAAATGCTCTTTTTAAATACATGCAACGTCTGTGGATTAATGGAAAAGTGTAGTCTTAATATGAGGAAATGTAATGTGGGTGAAATGTTGTTTTAAGTTACAAGCGTTAAGCCTGGTGTTTGGGTGGTAATTTTCCAAGGCACACTCAAACATGATGTATGTTGTCAGTCTGGTTCACAGATGGTAACTGCCATGGGCGAACAGCTCAAGAGATCCCTACAGGCTGAGAGAACCTCCAAGCCCTCAGAAGAGGTGACATCTGAATCACCTCAACACTCTTCAGATTCTGATGTCACCTCGATTGACCTGTTTGAGCCGATCAAAAAGCAACCATTTGTAGGTCTAAATATTTAACAGTTTTTTTCAAATTGATATGCAGTGTTTCCCATATAAGTAAAATTCATGAAATTCCCACATTTATTTTGAGACCCGACCTGACTTCCCACATGTTACAAATTTGAAAATAAACTATCTATTGCATTTATACAACAGTAAACAAATGCAAAAGAAAGAGCGTAATTTCAGAAAATCAGGACTGTTGGAATGCACCATGGTCAATCATAGTACATAGTATTTTGCGGCTGACACTATTTTATGTCTGAATTTGTTATTTACACCTGGATACTTTTTTATACCCACTTTTTAGAGATGCCAAGATTGGTGGCTACCATGAAGACAGCACTGGACAACATTTCAGGGTCGTCCTCATCAGGATCTTGTTCCAGTAGTGGCCACGGTGACTCCCAGCAAACTGGCCGCAATACTGGCAGTAATGACTTGGTATGACCTACATAGTAATGATACTCTATTGCTATTGTTCTATACAAAATTAATCACTGCGGATCAATGGAATTGTATTTTCACACCCTTGAAGCCAAGACGAGAGCTGCCCCACATAATATACAGAAGTGTACTCGAGTACTGTTTGAGTACACCTTGACTTCAGGGCTCGCAATTAACGATGTCCCAATGTCCCGGGGACCATAACAATTCCTACTGGGACACAAATCTATTTTGTCTGGGACTATTTCGGGACAGTGGAAAAAAAATTAAAAGTAAACTTCAAAATGGCTGTTATTTGCAAAGTCATTGGGCTGTCAAATCATAGAATGCATTCTACGTCATCCACTCTGCTGCTGACTGCTGCTAGACTCGCGCCAATGCAACGGTCACGACAGTTAAAAGAAGAAGAACGAAATGCTGAGGTGGTTGAATAAACAGCCCCCTGATGCAAGCCCCAATTCTGCCGACTCCCGAAACGAAAACATCCCAAGTCCTGGTCATGATGCATCGTCTTCCACTGTGGTAAGTTAGTTGTCTTAAGTGTCAATGTTAGCTAACGCTAACAACTGAAGTGTGCCTTACAATGCATACAAACGTCCTAAAATGCGGTGTCATGTTCTTTTGAAGTTTGTGAAAATGATGTGAAATACAGTTGATCAGAATAAGAGGTGTAGCCGATCATTTTTGTATTTTCTGTGATCGAGTGAGAGCAAGATGATTGACATTCATGAATGAAGATAGAAGATCAATTTATATTCCTATAGTACTACTGACTTGTGAGGATAACTTGTAATTAGAACTGAAAACAGATACATTTATTAAACTGTATTATGGAACTTCTGTTTTTTTATTATCATTCATACCACTTTTATTGCCAGATGGAGGGTTCCGATCATAAAACACAGAGACCATACAGCCATACCATATTGAATTGAAAAATACAAATCAGAATTCTTCTATGTTGACATGACAATGTTAAATTAGTCTGGATATTGAGAAACAATAGAAAAACATGTCTTAAAACAACTCTCTTCCCTTCTACTCTAGGAGAGGCAACAGATCAGACTAATATTCATATGTAGTATTTTAAACTTACACGATGGACCAGAGTCTATGGTGTGATGATTAAGTGACAAAAAAGTATCAAATTATATGTATTCTGCATAATTGGGGGGGGCGACGATACAAATTTAAATTTGGGACACTGCTGGTTATATCCGGGACAATACAAAGTAGAATTCGGGACAGTTGTGGGACACTGAGGAAAAAAGTTAATTTCGAGCCCTGCTTGACTTGATTACGGGGGAAGGCTGTGGTAGAGCAGGTCAGCTACCAATCGGAAGGTCGGTGGTTCGATCCCCACCCCGCCACTGGCAGCCATGCGCTGTTGTGTCCCTGAGCAAGACACCTAACCCCAAATTGCTCAGAATGCTGTGCATTGGTGTGTGGATGTGAGTGAATGTGTTACCTCTGATGGTTTATCTTCCGCCATCAGTGTATGAATGTGTGTGAATGTGATATGTGGTGTAAAAGCGCTTTGAGTAGTCTGCTGACCAGATAAAGCGCTCTACAAGTACAGTCCATTTACCATTACAAATATGTTTTGTTGCCATTAGAAATACACTTGCATGACTATTATATTATATCTCTAGTGTGTTTAAAATATAGCAAAGCATTCAAGTTCATTTGATGGTACAGGTACAATATTTGTAATTTATCTTGTTTTAATCCGCCTCTTTGTTTTTACAGATGTTCCTAGGCAACTCCTCCGTCCAGGTCTCCACACGCCTCTTCCACAGATTAGGCAACAGAATGATGTCTCTCTTTGCCCAGGAACTAGCAACGCTAATCTTTGGGAAAGAGACCCTGGCGAAGTCTACCCTTACTGGGAAGGGGAAAACCCAGAGACCCTTGACCCGGAGAAAGTCAATGCCATTATAGGTACAGATATTCTGTATTAATGTTATCATTATGAATGGATTTCAATCTAATATATTGTCTATATTATCAAGTATTAAATCCCATGCTTCCTTCCTGTTTTGTAAGACACCGTGAGAGAAAAATGTCCCGGCACCGAGGTGAGTGCGATCCGGGCCCTGCTGCGGAGGAAATGCAACAACAAGAGATATACAAGCAACGTTACTCCTCACTGATGGTCACCATTTAGTTTATATAGACTTTGCAAGTTAGTTAGTCAGTTTAGCCATCATGTTTTGTTAATTGTTAAATTTAGTATAAACACGTTTTTTGGTTTGTTGTTGTTTTTATGTCATTAAAATTATGTTTTTCTCATAATTGAAGTGCAATTTGTCATGAAACAGAATAGCACACTTGGTGTGTACTTAAGTGGTATCCGGAAGTAGCTTAAAGTGTATGAAGTATAATAGTGATGTATTGTAAGTATGCTTCTGTAACACATAACCCAGTACTTGCAGTGGTAACATTATTGTAAAATACACTTCTATTCTATAGTATAAGCAGTGATACCATACACTTATATTCTACATTATAGTATAATAACATTATACTTAAAATACATGGATTTATGGTGCTTAAATTGTGATAGAACCTTACTATAAAGACATTTTTATTAACATGATAGCACAATTTAAAAGTATTAAATACAGTCAGAAAGTGCATTTGAAGTTAATTGGAAATATAACAGGTGTGCTTGAATAAGTATGATAATAGTATGTTGAAAACACACTTATGAATTACTATGAATTGAGCTGAATGCCCTTTTAAGTATATTTCCAACACACTGGTGATACAATACAATTATACTTAAAGCATGTTTCGAATGCACACGAATGCCCTTTTAAGTATATTTCCAACACACTGGTGATATAATACAATTGTGCTTAAAGTGTGTTTCGAATGCACATACATCATGATTTTAACTGGTGTACTTTAGTACACTTAAAGTTTACAAAAAGTTGTGCCAATTTAGCACACTATTTACACTTCAAGTATACTCAACTAATGATTAAGTAGTACTCCAGTACTACTTGAGTACACTTTAGTATACTTGAATGTGACCAAAATAGCACATTTATCTAAAAGTGTACTTAGTACATTCTTCTAAAAGTATAATTTATGCATACTATTTTTTTTACCTGGGAGAGCCTGCCGAGTCTATACATGACTTTGATTTGTTGTTTAAATAGGGGGCCTACAAAACCCATCTGCCCCAGGGCCTGATGGCAGGTTAAGGCGGGCTTGAATTTCAGAATCAAACAAGTATGAGAGCACTCTCATAATAACGTAACACAATCAGAGACTGGATATATATATATATATTCCCCCCCCTCTCTCTGGTCGCTGAAATGGGGAATTGAAATTACAGGCCAAAAGTTGTATTTACAAGTATTAAAAGTAAGCATAGGACACCAAACCAACTGAGACCCGTCTGTCCGCCGCATCTACGCATTGTACAACACACACACCTACAGTACACACTGTGGTACAGTGTGTAGGTGTGTGTGTGTGGTACAGTCTGTACCACACACACCTAATGCTCCTAAAGCATAATCAGGCTACAGCCGTTGTGTATTTTATTATGTGAAGCACTAAATGGTCTTAGAAAAATATCGACTCTTTGTTTGTAGTTATCTACTAAACTACAGCATACAAATACAGAGAGTAATGTGGGCCTGTTATACTGAGTGATATACATTTTACACACTGCTCTGCTTTCTGCACGGACCTCACAGCTGTTCTCACTGTAAACATCGCGTCGCCGTTCAAGCGGTTACTAAAATAATATCCAGGGGATGCATGCAGAGCTGTCATTGGCTGAGATAAGTCCGGCCGTGCGTAACGCTTCCACCGTTCCCGGAAATGCATCCGTGGAGGACCCATCAGTGTCTCCTCGGTTAGAGCTCCTCCAGAGAGCCTCCTCGATGCTCGGTCCTCGATGTGCATTTAGAGAAATGAGATATCCTTCAACATGGCTCGCTGAAATCCATTTCTGGGTCACAACCGGAGGGATATTAGAGTATTGAGAAACCTCTATTATATGGCACGTCTCTTTATAAGACGTTTTCGTATTTCCCACAATTAGAAGTTGCCAGTATTAAACTGTGTACACCCTGGAGGTTTAGGGGATACGAAACACAGTGGTGTTATCAAATGTAAAACATATAATTAATAAATGGGTGAAATAATATTTCAATCATGAGAGACGTGATGTATGAAATACATGTTTATTACTGGACACGTGGTATAGAAAATTATGATTGACAGATTACAACAAAGAATCAACTGATGTTTGGAGATTAGGCCCCGGTTTGTAGGATATCATTCAGGAGGGGAAAACCACTCCGATGAACCCCCCGGGGTCTAGACACTGGTGGTGGTGATAATGGTTCGGTCTGGTCTGGAGGAAGAAGAATTAGCTTGGCCCTGAATTAGGAGACAGGAGGCGAAGGGGTGGAGGCGGGTTGTGCGTTGACACCTGAAATGACAACTGACAGAGAGGGAAGAGCAGATTTAAAGGGTTAGCAGGTGCGATGATTAGCTGGGGAGTACCGCCCCTGATTACTTAATGGGAGAAGAGCTTGCAGTGACGTGTAACACCAGGGGGTATGGTCTTCCTTCTTGAACTTGCGCTAAGCTTCATTTCAATCATGAGAGACGTGATGTATGAAATACATGTTTATTACCGGACACGTGGTATAGAAAATCTATATCCTACGGTTTGTAGGATATCATTCAGGAGGGGAAAACCGCTCCGATGAACCCCCGAAGAGAAGAGAAGTAAGAAGTGCTGAGATGTGAGCATTTCTTACCTTGCTGGCTGATTGAGGAGATCTGTGGATGAAATGAGATAACGCAGGGACATGATGAGAATGTCGGAATAACTGTAGGGTTAATGTGAACGCCAGCCATGCTTAGCGCCTGCATGGTGGATTAGACGAATGCTGACCCACTGGCCGCAACCTGCACGCGCAGGGTTAAACATGACGCTGACCCACCGGCCGCAACCTGCACACGCAGGGTTAAACATGACGCTGACCCATAGGCCGCAACCTGTACACACAGGGTTAAACAAAAGCTGACCCATAGGCCGCAACCTGTACACACAGGGTTAAACAAAAGCTGACCCATAGGCCGCAACCTGTACACACAGGGTTAAACAAAGGCTGACCCATAGGCCGCAACCTGTACACACAGGGTTAAATATGACACTGACCTACTGGCCCTGCACGTGCAGGGTTTAAACATAATGCGACCCACTGGCCGCAACCTGCGCGGCAGGATTCAATACAAGCGGACCCGAAGGTCACGACGATGTGAAGTGTTTAAACGTGAACACGGTGACACATAAATGTGCTGACTTGCTAAACCACCACCAGTTGTATATATAAATACCGTTAGTGTTTGAGGGACCTTTGGATGGCCAGCACGGCACTGATGTCCGGGCGAATGTAGGATGTGAAGGCAGAGGAGGACCACCGTCCGAGTTGTTGCAGGGATGAGGATGAGACTCCTTGAATGGCAGCAGATGTAGCTGCGCCTATCCTGAACGAATGCCCCGAGAATAATTGGGGTGATAGTCCGGATTTAGAGAGAATTTGTTTTAAATAGTAGTTGAATCGGTGTTTAGTTAAGGGAATATTCCCTGGAAGAAGAAATAGTGGTGAGAGAGGATTTGTGGAAGATCTCAAATGCAGGAATTTAATCATGGATTTATAGGGGCAGAAAGGAGAATCGTTGCGAGCAGCGCTAGCGGAGCAAGCGCCTCCACATTTGGAGTGCTTAAGTTTTAGACTAAAATGGCTAGCATGGAAAGATAAGCGAGAGAGGGAGTCAGCCGCTGTATTGAGGTAACCGGGAACATGACGAGCTGAGATGAGAAAGTTATGGGTAATGGAAGACCATGTGATGCTTCTCATAAACGGCATAATGTCATTGCACGGGGAGCGAGCTTTGTTAATTATTCCCACTACTGCTTGGTTGTCGCAGAGCACCGAGATGCGTTTCCGTAGCCAGAGGTGACCCCACACATAACAGGCAACTGCGATAGGGTAGATCTCGTGCAGGGCGGAGGATGAGGCATGATTGGGGAATGTGGGAGGCCATGGGCCCGCAAACCACTCTCCCTGAAATAAACCCCCAAAACCCACGGATGGGGCGGCGTCCGTGAATAACCTCATTGAGTCGGAGGAATACACTATGTCATCATAGAAGAAGGTGATGCCGTTCCAGTGGTCGAGCAGGAGGGACCAGAATCGTAGGTCTGAACGGAAGCCTTCATCTAGCACAACACGGTCGTGGAGGTTTTTAACGCCCGAAGCTGTGTCTAGAAGGCGAGATATGAATGAGCGCCCCTGGGGGATGACGCGCATGGCAAAGTTAAGGTGCCCGAGGAGGGAGAGCAGCTGTTGTTTAGTTATGGTTTGTTGCCCGCAATATGACTTGGTAATATCACGTATGCGCTGCAGTTTGTCGCTGGGGAGAGATGCTTTCATCTCTGCGGAATCGAGTGTGATGCCTAGAAACTCCAGGCGTGTGTCAGGTCCTAGGGTTTTCTCCGCGGATAGGGGAACGCCTAGCTTCTGAAAGCAGAGTTTAAGTTTTGCCAGGGAGGCGCCTGAGTTGTCCCGAGGGGGATCTACGAGGAGAAAATCGTCCAGCAAGTGAAGAACAGAGGGTATTCTGACAATGTTCAGCAGGATCGAGCAGAGGGCTTCGGAAAGAGAATTAAAAATGCAGGGGCTACTTCTGCACCCGAAAGTCAGGCGGACGGCGAAGTAGAATTTGGATTCCCACCTGATGCCGAACATGTTCCACTGGGACGGATGGATGGGGATGATTTTGAACGCATCAGTGATGTCTGCTTTGGAGAGCCAGGCTCCTTGCCCTGTGAGCTTTATTAATTTGATTGCGTCGTCAACCGAGGCATATTGAAGGGAAAATGGCTCTGAAGGGATGAGGCTGTAAAAGCTGCAGAACGGGCCGGCGCGGGGTGCGGACAGATCGAAAATTAGCCTTTTCTTTTCGGAGTATTTGCGTGTGGCTACTCCTATTGGACTTGTCCGGAACACTGAGAACGGGGATGAGTGAAAAGGACCTATTAAGTATCCTTTGTTACATTCTTTCTCAATGAGCTGAGAGACTATGATGGGTTCTTTATTTGCTGATTGTAGGTTTTTTGCAACGAAGGTTACGGGGGGAGCAGAGAGGACCCCGACCCTAAAGCCTTGGGAGAGCCCTGACAAAAGGTAATCAACGAACACTGAGTCTGGGTGGGTAGAGAGCGCGGCGGCTAGGTATGGAATGTTAATGGGAGTGGACGGGTGAATTTTTAGGAGGTCTTTCCACCACGTGGTTTCTGTTGCGGGAAGTTGATTCGGCGGCGCTTGGGGCAGACTGACTTCGGATGCGCATCCCCGCAGAAGCTGGCGTTCTTGGCCATCATTCCCTGGATACGGCGTGGGAAAATCTCTGGCCCTGGAGAGAGGCACTGATGGGCAGAAAGTGGCAGTGTGGCCCTGCGTCCCGCAAGTAGAGCATGAGTGGACTTGTTGCCCGCCGGTAGCCATGACAAGCAGCTCAGTGTCCAGCACGGACCAATCCAGGCGGATGTTGCAGTGAGCTAGATGGCGCGCTGCTTTGCTAGAAAAGCTCTTGTGGTAATAATAAAAAATGGATTTCCCGTATTTAAGCTGGAGATCACCGATGATGCCCAGATACGCGTCTAACTCGGTTCTCCTTTCGGGGTAAACGGTACATAGGACATCTCGGAAGATGCCGAAAGCGACCAGGAACTGTCCTATGTGTAGATCTTTCAGAAGCCGGGGATCTGTGGACCTAAACACGGCAGTGAAGCTTCCTCCTGTGGCGATAGACTTGTCACACTCCGGGGAAGGCAAGATGAGGCTGACGAGATTAACGTCTTTCCTTTCGAGGATTTTCGCCCTCAGCCTGGAGGAATATACGCGGCTTGGGGAATATAAGGCCTACCTGAAGGCGGCTCTGGAAATGCGGTAGCCAGGATGTGAGAGGGGATTACCGCTTGATGATATGACTGGCCCTGCCCCGGCCTAAGCCCCTGAGCAGGAGCGTCGCCCCAGTTTGCGGAAGAAGTTGACGCTCTAGCAGAGCCTTTATCCATGGCCTGGAGGTGAGCGTTAATTCCCCGCATGGAGCTTGCCAGATTTTTCAGGGTGTTAGCGAGGCTGTCGTCCTGGTTACCGAGGCTCCCGAGCTGCCCGGCGCTTGGGTGCGATTGGGGAAAGTTGGATTTTCTTTTTTTTTCTGGGCGAGCTTGTGGAGGGCTCCGCTTCCTCGTCCTTTTTCCTCCGCGGCTACGCCCGCGTCCTCGCTCCGGTCTCTCGGGAGAGTTGGCTGGAGAGTTGGCTGGAGCTGCTGCCCTGGGCTGGGAGGCCGCACCGGGGACTTGGTCCGAGAGTTTCCGAAGCTGGGAGAGAGGGAGGTCTGGGGCTGCGGAAATGCCCTGCCGCCGTAGGTGGGAGATGAGGAAATCCGCCTCTGCTGTTCGGGATTCGCCACGGGAAGCCAGACGGGAGCTTGTGCGCCATTGGCTTGAGGAGATGGAAGATACACCTGGAGGTATGTCGGAATCGGGATCGAGATCCTGCGGAAAAGCTTCGTTGTCGGAGCCTTCTGTAGTGGACATGTTGTTCTTTTTTGTATCTTTTCTGAGTGTTTGTTAACGAGATAGGAGTATAGGTACTACCAATTGTGCGTTGACACCTGAAATGACAACTGACAGAGAGGGAAGAGCAGATTTAAAGGGTTAGCAGGTGCGATGATTGACTAGCTGGGGAGTACCGCCCCTGATTACTTAATGGGAGAAGAGCTTGCAGTGACGTGTAACACCAGGGGGTATGGTCTTCCTTCTTGAACTTGCGCTAAGCTTCATACCCACATGACACCAAAGGTCAGAAGAGCTTTATTTAACAGCTGGTATTATGTCTGTGCACTTGTCAAGGTTCAGAGGCAAATTTTGCAAATATGGCAGTAGCCATCGATCATCTTAAGATAAGATAAGATATACTTTATTGATCCCAAGTTGGGAAATGTTTTTGTTACAGCAGCATACTACTTTGTTCTACTCCACTACAATTCAGAGGTTAACCTGGTATTTTTACTCCACTACATGTATTTTAGTTACTTTGCAGATTCTGATTAATGATGTGAAATATAAACAACCCGTAAACCAGACTTTAGTTACACCTGACTCAAATTCAGGGAAGGTGATTGTCAAGTGCCAAAATAAACTATGCAATATATTGGACGTTAAATACTTTGTCAGACTTCATATTTATCTGTGGATAACCCCAACGTTTTTTTCTTATTCAAAAGAAGACCTTAAAGGTGGGGTAGGTAAGAATGGAGAAACCAGCTCGAGTGCGCTAGAATTTGAAAGTACACAGCCGGAACAAATCTGCCACTTCCTGTCCACCACCTGCCTATCACCAAGCGAAAGACAGATATTTAAACTAAAGGTACTCTCTGGACGCAATTCGACGCCAGACAAAGCCAGTCTTGGCATAAATCAGAGCTAAAAGGAGAATGAATGTTTGACTTGCATTTCAATTTGCCGCAAACACATTTCAAAGGGCCTACATTGCACTCTGCTGAAAGAGTAGATTTGTAACTGTTGACCAACATTATTATTATCATATCAACTTTTAAGAAACGTATTAAGAAAGTATCCAATACCATTAAATTCAACTTGCAACATTTTAAACAAATTAGACCTTTCTTAAATGGGGCGAAGCCTGCGAGCTAGTTCAGGCAGTCAACTCGAGCACTTATGCTGCGTTCATACATAACGCCCCTTATCACTCTACAACCAACCAAACAGACTCCTTAATATGCCGCTCTATTTAACCTTCCAGATATCTCTCTATGCATTGCTTGCTGCTGCTATTGTGCAGCTACTTCCACGTAGCTGCTGCTTGCCTGCCCCACCACCACCCCAGCTTCCACCTGTAGGCTCGGGGGGGGGGGGTTAGTTATTTAATCATCACTCATCGTGCTTTGTATATTTGTGGAGTGATGAGGCCCGAGCCTAGACGCCAAACTCAACTATATGCTGCTTCTAATAAACATGTTAAAGAAACTCGTGAGTTGTCTGACTGATCTGTCAATGCTGCAAAGTCATAACTCCACTCTATGATTCTATCCCACATTGAATACTGTTTAACAAACTGGTCGTTTCTTTGTGCCACAAACCTGAAACCCATAGAACAGCTGTACAAGAGAGCTATCAAGGTGTTTGACAGAAAGCCTTATTCATACCACCACTGTACCATTCTTGAAAAACACAATTTCTTGAGTTTTGACAATTTTAAGTCTTTTAAAAGTATCTGTTTTTTTTATAAATGTTTACATGGACTGCCCCGATCCCCCCCCCCCCCCCCCCCCCCCCCCCCCTTAGAGGAATTCATCCACAAAAAACACACTGGACGCTGCACTAGGTCAGAAACCAGAGGAGACTGTGAAGTCCACCGCAGACGGACCACTTTCGGTCAAAATGTACTTTCCATTAAGGGCAGCTCATTGTGGAATAGCCTCTCAACTGAGATACGAGATTGTCCCACTTTGAACAGTTTTAAAGGTCAACTAAAAGAATGGTTGAGAAACAAACAAATGTGCAATCACTGCTAAATGCACTTTAATACATTTTTGCACTTTATGTTGCTCTTTTATCTTCTCTTGCACTTTATGTGTCGTAAATGCTACATTGTACTGCCATGTGGTTAATGCATGTCTGCTGCTCATGCTCTTTCTGCATATCATGTATTTATTTTTGCTATATAAATATCAAGTTCTTAAATGTTGTATGTGAGGGACTACGGATGGAAATGAGCTAAATGCTAAAATCCGGCATATTTACATTTTGAAGCATTAATTGTTAAAGATGTTCATCAATGTGCATTGTCCCTCTTCAAGTAAACGAATAAATGAAATGAAATGATGATATAATAGTGCTTACAAGGAAATACATACAATAGTTGTTTGAATTCCTGATATAAAAGTTATGTAAGAAAAATCTCTTACAATTCAACTCATGAGTCAACACAGTGTATCAGTTTAGTTGGATGGCCAGAGTCCTGAGTTCAAGCACGTCCGCCTCTTTTCCCGCCACGCCGCCGCTCGTGTCCTTTTCCTTGCTTTTGAACAGCCTCCCCAGTTTCATCGACAGGGTGTTCAGGGCTGAGCGCTTGTCCGGTGTGAAGCATCTGCGGTTAATGTGTCCGCTCCGGGTGAAGGTATACGGGGTCCTGTTCTCCGAGCTGGTGGCCTCGAAGAGCTTGCCCATGAAGCTGAAGCCGGCCTTGCGGATGTGGGAGCTGCCGGCAAACACGTACAAAATGGGATTGACCGCACTGCTGAAGTAAGCGAATGCCGTGACATTTGGACGGGCTGCATGGGCGACTGTAACAGCGGATTTACTGTCCTGCAAAAGGCCCACCACCTGTTGAAGGGAGAAGAGAGGGGAGATTAATAAATAAATCACATAACTGCTCTGGTAAATTCACCCTCATGTATATGTCCAATCAATTGGGCAGAAGAGCGTCAGAGTGTCATACTCAGCTCACTTGTTCATTAGAGTCAGTTTTACTATGCCCCTTTTTTCTCAATTTGAGTTAAAAAATAAAAGACGTATTTACCTGTAGCAGTTTCATATAAAGAGCCACTGTAGGACTTTAAATATGGAAATATATTAGCAGGAAGTGTTGATTTTCAGTCACATAATACAAAATTGAAGAAACAGCAAAGCGGAATCAGATGCATAGTGTGAATCCTCTGGCCTCTGTTTATCTATGAAGTTCCCCTGGGGCCTGAGCAGCATTGGGATTTATGGGAACAGCAATAAGCTCAAGCTTCAGCTTGGTCAAGGAGGAATTTATTGTGGCATGGTCATGAGAACATCTGAAGACCACAGGATCGAGGGTAGCAAAGTGGAAGGCACAGGGATTGTTCTGCGGACAGGGAGGAATTTGAGGAAGACCGAGGCAGTCCAGCAGACGGAGGCTTGGTTGAAGCACAAGGACCTTATTGGGAGTGTGGCACAGGGCAGGGCCAGACATGGGAGTGCAAACATAGCTGCTCCAAGGCACTGAGAGAGTGGCGCTATCACATGGAGATCAGTGAAAGCAGGTACACCAACGCCACAGAAAAACCCATCATACTGTTACTAGGTGGGTAAGCGGCTGAAGAAAGTAGACATGGTCACCACAACATCATATCCTTGTATTATTGTCTTGTTTTACCCATGGGAAACGTCCGATACCTGCACATAAAGCACATGTATGGCATATAATAGAATCAGGAGACATTTCTAGCCCATGTAAGTCAAACTCTGATCAACAAAATGAGTAAAACTCACCTCTATGATATTGACGATGTGATACGGCAGCCAGAATACTGCAAAGGCACAGATGACCATCAGGATGAGGCGGCTGCCTTGTGCTCGGCGCTGGAACTTGGCACTCTGCAGACGACAGATGACGGAGGAGTTACAGGTGTTGATGAGGGAGAAAGGCAGCAGGAAGGCCATGATGGTTTCAAACAGGTACTGGAAGACCCAATGACCCTTGCTCTTCCAGTGGTATGGCACGCAGGAGCACAAAGTGATATTGTTTGGGAAAGTACTCCTCATCTCCAGTCTGTAAATTAACATATTAAATGTTCAAATGGATTAACCAGCCCTCATTACAGTATTTCCATTAAAAACTAGCCTTTATAAAATGAGAAACTAGATATATTTCAAGAAAATACACATTTTTGTCTCACCTGCGGTAGAAAGGCATCGGGACTGACAGGAGCAACGCTAACACCCAGACCACAAGCAGAAGAATCAGGAGGGAGCACTTGGTTCTCATTGTATGGAACAGAAACGGCCTGGACACGGCCAGCCAGCGGTCCATGCTCATCAGGCAGATGAGGTAGATGGACACGTACATGTTCACACTCGATAGGTAATGCACCAGCTTGCATGCTGCCGAGCCAAACTCCCAGCCTCGTCCTCCAGCCAGGTAGCGCAGGAAAAAAGGGGCGCTGAGCAGCACGAAAGCATCCGCCATGCTCAGATTCAGCACCAGCAAACTGGTCACTGAGCGCTTCTTCACCCGGCACAACACTGACCAAACAACAAACAGGTTCCCAGGGAAGCCCAGCACAAAGGCCAGGGTCAAGATGGTGATGCCGACCATGGCGTTGATGGACAGAGGAACAGACGAAGAGGAGGACTGCTGGGAGATGGTGGTGGTGATATTGGATGCCATCAGGAAAGCCTGAGAAGAATCTGAGTGAGGCTTTGACCACTGTGACATTTACACAACCTTTTAAACAGAAAATGAATTAGGTGCCAATGTGTGTCAATGCTTCGAAAGGTTACAAATGTTTTTACATTATCTGCTACTGTAAATCTACACTACATATTTATAGAAAGTGATGTTGCCTGTTATCAGAAAACATGGACCTCAAAAGATCATTAACTGCCTTTTTCCAGATGGTAAGGATTGATACGATATCACTTTTTACACATCTTGATAACAAAGATGCTTGAAATGTTTCACCCTATAAGACTTTTGTGCGCTATGTTTTAATTTTGTGCATCAGACAAATGGTAAATGACTGAACATGAATAAAAAAAGAAATACTTTTACCTAATTTCTCGATTAATGTTTCACTTCCTGTATGTTGTCCCTACTTCTATTTCATTTGTATGCCATTTGCCAAATAAGATAGAGGGGAAAGCTTCACATTTCTGATATATCTTTTAATTATAAGTTTTTCTGATCAGTGTCAAAGGACACCATTGAAGTGTAGACGAATATTTCCTTTTTTATCTTATACCTGGGAGACAGCTCCTTGTAAGTAGAGGCACATGTTCCCAAATTGTCTCACAAATTATTTTGAGTGTTAATTTAGTTTTAGACCAACACATTACTAACATGGCAACTTACTGTAAGTATGGAAAACTGAACTTTTGAACTTTATTCTAAAAAACTAAAATCTATATTTAACTTCAAATCGTCTTGTCTCCGGGCAGACAGCAACAGAGATCTGCAGAAACAGTCATGTTCATGAGTATTTTTAACTTAACATTTAGTTTTGTCTGACTGATTTATCATTTTATAAAAATATACAGGAAACTCATAAAAGAGATTTCAGTCCAAAAGTTGTATTAGACGTGAAATGTTTCGGTCAGACTCCAAAATAAATATATTTTAGGTGTAATATAATAACAAGTAACATTTGCATACTGACCTTACTGCTGATCTCTTTTAAAGCCCACGACGGTAAGTCCACTTGAAAAATGTAATGTGCTGTTAACTCCCAGGCTTTATCCTTTGAAGAGTGTGGAGAGAAAAAGCAAAGTTTATTTATTGAGAAAGATGGTTTATGTAAGGGGAAGCCCGGTGACCACAGGAAGCAAGCTTAAGAACATTTGGTTGTAATTAGCTGTTGTTCCCAGGGGCGGACTGGGACTAAAATGCAGCCCTGGAATCTGACCCAGACTGGCCAAATCCGTCTTGAGTGATTGAATATTCCAAACATTCCAAAAATAATATCTCCATTATCTGCTCTTTCACCAGAAATCTTGGCAGATGTAGTATTCCTCATCACAGCAAAAACCACAGTGTACTCTATAAGAGTATATTTAACTCCAGTCTCCGGGTGTATATAGCTCCAAGAGTTTGGTGTTCTCTGAACACTGTCAAAAGAGTAAAATATAAACTCCAAATAAAAAGTTAGATTTGAACACTTTGGGAGTCAAAATATACACTATTACTGGTACATTTTTGACACTGTTTGAGTGCTTTCCAACACGTGCAGTGTATACCTAGAACCCTCAGAGAGTTAAAAATGTACTCTTAGTCAGTCTTTTAGTGTCACTGTGCAAAGCTGATTATTCAACACTTTGAGAGAGAAAATGTACTCCATGGTCATTTTTCACACTGTTTCAGTGCTGCTTAGCTGATGTACACCAAACAAACAATTTTGGGGTGAATCATTAACAATTCAGGAAATAAAGTACACATCAGATTCTTGAAAACATGCGTTTATTTTCAAAAATGTGATTTTGATGTGTTTTAAATATAACATCTAATCAGTAGCAACATCAAACAACCCACAAAATACATTGGTCATAGGTGGAAATGTGTGTATATTTGCTCATTAGGCCTCTTTAGCCTGGGGAAACACTTTAGAGATCATCATTCCAAAATCCTGTTACAACAAATGGACAACATGGAATACCATACACTAGTGCTAATGTGCAAAGTAAATTGACAAAAATAGTGTCTTGAAAGCCTAACAATCACCGAGCGGGATGATCAACATCTAAAAGTGTACATGGCAACCAGATTACATCAATGTTGTAGATGGTGGTCTGCAAAAATGTGTACATGCCGTTTAAGGCCTGGTCATAGGAGATCCCAAACACATAATGTGCTTTAAAAAGTTCATCAAAACTGACAGGCAAGACTTGGCCTTGCAGGGAAGGAGCTCACCATCCAACGCAATGTAGTACTCATGGATCTGTTTCTTGTGCTCTCAACTGCTAGGATGTTGGGTTGCCTCCACTGGACCAGAGTACTCCTGAAGGCTGGAGATGACTGTACAGTAAGATAACAATAAACACAAATATAACTACACTGTACATCATATTTTGATGGATGGGTCAGACACTGACAAAAACCTTTGATGGCAAATCAGATCAGCTCGGCCATTACCATGAACAGAAGTCCAATGCAACATACACATTAATGCAGCAGTAATATAAAACCTAAAAGCATTCCAAAAATAGTAAAACCCTGACAGGGACAATTTCACAGCACAATGAGTGCTTTTACTTATACTTAATGTACATTTAGCTGATTATACTCGCATACTCTTACTTAAAGGTGGGGTAGGTAAGTTTGAGAAACCGGCTCGAGATACACTTTTTGTTATATTCCATGGAATGCTCTTAACATCCCGATAGCAATGAATATCTTAAGTGCTTTGACAAAAAATCCATAAAAAGATGTCATCTGTGGAAGCCGTAATACTGTAAAAAGTAAAACCAATCATTTAGCCGGCCCGGCTAAACGGATTGGATTCCCGCCCTGTCTGTCAGCCTTCCATCTGTGCACAAACTTATCTCGTGCCCTCATTGGTCATGTGCGCTGGAGGAGGGGCTCTGTCAGGAAGAAGTATTTTCAAATTCTAGCGCACTCGAGATGGTTTCTCCAAAATTACCTACCCCACCTTTAATGTTTCACTTCCTGTATGTTGTCCCTACTTCTTTTTCATTTGAATGCCATTTGCAAAATAAGCCAGAGGGGAAAGCCTCACATTTCTGATATATCTTTTAATTTCAAGTTGTTCTGATCAGTGTCAAAGGACACCATTGAAATGTAGAGGCACATGTTCCCAAATTGTCTCACAAATTATTCTGAGAGTGTTAGTGCAGTTTTAGAACAACAAATTACTAACAAGGCAACTTACTGTAAGTATGGAAAACTGTGAACTTTTGAACTTTATTCTAAACAACTAAAATCTATATTTAACTTCAAATCTTCTTGTCTCCGGGCAGCAGCAACAGAGAGCTGCAGTCTTTGTGTTGGAAAACAAAATCAGAAACAGTCATGTCATGAATATTTTTAACTTAACATTTAGTTTTGTCTGACTGATTTAACATTTTATAAAAATATACAGGAAACTTATAAAAGAGATTTCAGTCCAAGATGTGTATTAGACGTGATATGTTTCGGTCAGACTCCGAATGTGTAATATATTACCAAGTAACATTTTGCATACTAACCTTACTGTTGATCTCTTTTAAAGCCCACGACCGTAAGTCCACTTGAAAAATGTACAAATGTAAACTTATTTGAGACCTTTCCTGATCTGTTAACTCCCAGGCTTTATCCTTTGAAGAGTGTGGAGAGAAACAACAAAGTTCAAATATTGTTGTAGCGGTTGTTCATTGCTTTCTGCTTATATGATACTGGTAGTGTATTAATTCCAGCTTTATCGAAAAAAAATTGACACCTGAAAACTGTGTGGAACACAAAAAATCGAGGCAGTGAAACAGTTCCACCGTATGATAGAAAATAGTGAATATCATGGAGAGAAAATCTTGTAGAACTGTTTTTTTCAGAGAAAAAACAATACAATTATCGTCACAGGTGATCGTCATGAGGGATATTTAGTCTGTGAATATTCCAGTAAACTGTCAGGATCTTTTTGGTACATGAGTGTTGAAGCATATCTCTGCCATCTGCATTATCTGCTCTTTCACCAGAAATCTTGGCAGATGTACAGCATATTCCTCGTACCCAGTGTTGTGCTAGTTACTGAAAACCAGTAACTAGTTACCATTACTAGTTACTTCATTTCAAAAGTAACTCAGTTACTTTACTGATTACTTACACCAACAAGTAATGAGTTACTGTGAACAGTAACGCATTAGTTACTTAAAAAAGGGCTCCCATTAATGCCTTTATAGCCTTCATTTCAGTACTGTTATTGCATTAGAGAATAATACAATCTGTTGATCAAGAAATAGCAATATAAATATAAATAGCCTGCATGTGTACTACAACATACCGTGCAATGGTTAAAATCATAGACTGTATGGTTAAAATCCAGCCGCTGTTGCTTAGGTGGAGGTGGAGTGGCGTCGGATAAATCTGGGTCTGTGGTCTTAGCTTCGTCCCAGCATGTTGTTTCTGCAGATGTTTCAACAGATTTGAATTGCTGGTTTGGGCAGTAGATAGGATCTTTGACCCGCCAAGACAAAACTTACATTTAACTAAAACGTTCTTTTCTTTGTGCTCGACAAAAGTGAAATAGTGAGAATATCTCCAGGCGGAGAAACTCGACTTGAGCTCCGCCGCCGCCATGATAGTCTTGTTAGGAAACACAAACACGCCCACAGCGCGTCTCCGCATGTGACACAGGAAGTATTTAAGTACATGTACTCAAGTTCTCATCTCTGTTTGCCTCGCTGTTGGCGCCGCTCACAAACGTCTGGGAGCCGAGACTATATAAAAAAATAACGGAGTAACGCACCATGTAGTAACGGTAACTGAGTTACTGAATAAAAAAAATAATGCGTTAAGAGTACTAGTTACTGCCAAAAATAATGGCGTTACTTTGTAACGCGTTAGTCCCAACACTGCTCGTACCACATAACCCCCGTTACATAACGAAGTTGAGATGTGTCACATTTGCATTACAAGATGATACCCTTCATTTTCTATTTTTTTAATTTTTCTTTGTTCAGTGAGAATTAAAACATTTCAGTTGAGACTCACTATTGAGTGTTTAAGCGTCCCTGAGCGCATTATTTTGACATTCATGCAATCAATTCACTGTTCTCATAATTTAAGCAGAACAAGGACGTTTTTCATGTACAAAAACGTTCATAAAAAGACTGTACAATACCTGCTTAGCATCAAGTGGAAGACGGACAATGGAAATGGCTAACTGGTGAACAGAAGCATTTCGGCAGATTTTTTTTTCAGGAGACCATCATCAAAAACTGAATTTACTCTCAACAGCAAAAGTGTTGACACAAAACAGCTAAAAGGACATTGAATGCTTTACTTGCATTTATCAGTTGGCCGCAAACGCGTCTCCAAATACAGTACATGTTTACAGTGCAATGTCTAGATTGGTAACTGTTGACTCACATTAAATCAACTTTTTGTTGTGTCTCGTAAAATCTGTTAAGTTAATGTATTTAGTTCAGTCTTATATCCTGTTATATTTAGTAAGGCAAGGCAAGTTTATTTATATAGTACTTTTCAACACAAGGCAATTCAAAGTGCTTTACAAAAAATGAAAGACATTAAGAAAAAGGCATTTAAAATCAGTCATTAAAAAGAAAAGCTAATAAAATAAACATTAAAAGAAAAAATACATGGATAAAAGTTTCAGTGCAGTCTAAGATATGAATAGTTCCATTAAACATTAAAAGAAAAAGTACATGGATAAAAGTTACAGTGCAGTCTAAGATATGAATAGTTCAATTAAAAGCAGCGACAAAAAGAAAAGTCTTCAGCCTGGATTTAAAAGTAGTCAGAGTTGCAGCGGACCTGCAAGTTTCTGGGAGTTTGTTCCAGATATTTGGAGCATAATAACTGAACGCTGCTTTACCATGTTTAGTTCTGACTCTAAGCTGACCAGTCCCTGAAGACCTGAGAGATCTGGATGGTTCATAATTTAGCAGGAGGTCAGAAATGTATTTTGGGCCTAAACCATTCAGTGCTTTATAAACCAGCAGCAGTATTTTGAAATCTATTCTTTGACACACAGGAAGCCAGTGTAAAGACTTCAGAACAGGAGTGATGTGATCCACTTTCTTAGTGTTAGTGAGGACTCGAGCAGCAGCGTTCTGAATCAGCTGCAGCTTTCTAATATATTTTTTAGTGAGACCTGTGAAGACACCATTGCAGTAGTCGAGTCTACTGAAGATAAAAGCATGGACAAGTTTTTCCAAATCCTGCTGTGGCATTAGTCTTTTAATCCTAGATATATTCTTTAGGTGATAGTAGCCTGATTTAGTAACTGTTTTAATGTGACTGTTGAAACTCAGGTCAGAGTCCATGACTACACCTAGATTTCTGGCTTTATCTGTTGTTTTGAACATTGCAGACTGAAGCTCAGCGCTAACTTTTATACATTCTGACTTGGCTCCAAAAACCATTACCTCAGTTTTATCTTTGTGTAATTGGAGAAAGTTCTGACACATCCAGTCATTGATTTGTTCAATGCACTTACTCAGTGTTTGAATTGGAGCATAGTCTCCTGGTGAAATTGTTATGTAAATGTGTGTGTCATCTGCATAGCTATGGTAACTTATTTTGTTGTTTTTCATTATCTGAGCCAGTGGTAGCATGTAGATGTTAAAGAGAAGAGGCCCCAAGATGGAGCCTTGAGGAACCCCTCATGTCATATTTGTCAACTTAGATGTGTATTTACCTATAGAAACAAAGTTGTTTCTGTCCTTTAAGTAGGATTCAAACCAATTTAGAACTGTTTCCGAAAGTCCCACCCAGTTTTCCAGTCGGTCTAGTAATATGCTGTGGTCAACAGTGTCAAACGCAGCACTGAGATCTAATAATACTAACACTGAAGTTCTGCCACTATCTGTGTTTAAGTGGATGTCATTAAAGACCTTTACAAGAGCAGTCTCGGTGCTGTGGTTTGGACGAAAGCCTGACTGGAACACATCGAAACAGTTATTTAAATGCAAGAAATTACTCAACTGTTGAAACACAACTTTTTCAATGATTTTACCTAGAAATGGGAGGTTTGATATGGGCCTGTAATTGTTCATTACTGAAGCATCTAGATTATTCTTTTTTAAGAGCGGTTTAATGACTGCAGTTTTCAGGGCCTTTAAGGTTAGTAGTAACCTTTCCTTCTTGTTGCAGATTACCTCACTTCCTCCCTTGTGTGTTTTCCCTCCACTGTGATTGTTGACCCCGCCCTAATTGTCTGCACCTGTGCCTCCTTAGCCTGCCTATATATAGATTCTGTCTCCCTTGTTTTGTTGCCAGTTTGTTTTGTCCCATGTGGGAAGCGGGAAGTCCATGTCTTTCTGCTAAGAGCTAAGAACCGTGTTTTGGAATTTACTTTATCCTTTGCATTTTTGGAACTACTTTGTTAACCTTTTCCTCGTAAGAGTGTTTTTTGTTATCTTACCCTGTTACCTCTACGGAGAGCACATAGTGCAATTTTTCAGTAAAGACATTCTTTTGTACTTTGTTTGTCGAGTCGTGCTTTTTGGTTCATACTGGTTTGCCTAGAAGTGACGCTTTTACACAGATTATATGATTTAGCCACCAAATACTTCTTGTCACTGTTTTCATTCATTTTGACATTTTGGTGTATGTACATATGAAACATAACATGATACAATTAAAAAATAATTTTGATGTTAAAATAAATGTACAGTAAACTCCACAGTTCTTCCATACAAAATGGTTCAAAACAGAGCAAGGCTCTGTATAATTCTTCTCGTCGGATGTAGGACTTTCCTGCGAAGAAGTACAGGACTGGGTTGGCACAGCTGCTGATGAAGGCGATGGCAGAGGTGACCGCTCGGCTCTTGTGCCATATTAAATTCAGCCTGGAGGGTTGAGAAGGAGAGCCTTTTATTAAAGAAAAATAACTTTGTTTCTTTTGAAATGTGCGGAAAAGTGTCACATACTATGCATCAGTGCTAAAAGTACTTAGATACTCTACTTAAGTAAAAGTACTAATACCACCGTCTAAACATACTTCATCACAAGTGTATTCCTAAATTCAAAATGTTACTTAAGTAAAAGTGCAGAAGAAGCTAAATGAACTCAAGTATCAAAAGTAGTACTAATTGTGCATAAAGGCTATAAATAAAGTGTTTTATTATTATTAGGATATACATATGACAGCTTAGTACATCACATGTTTGGATTACAATTTTTATTTTTTATTTCCCGGTATCTGAATATTATATTATATATTAGCTCTTAGCTTAGCAAATAGAGACCCAGGGAATAATATTAGCTATAATAAATAAGATGCAGGCAAGTTGTTGTGTCATCACTTACGTCTCTTTCACTTGACCCTTTGGACACAACGCCCATGTTACCTGAAGACAACAAAAAATGGCTTTGTTAGTAGGAGTGAAAACTCTCTGGACACATGATACATTTCAAATAATCTCTTTAGACTCTATACATACAATGCTTGGAAGAATGTGTTACTCATTAAAGAGGACGTTTGACATACTTGAACCATATTGACGAGGTGGTAAGGCAACCAAAAGAGGCAGAATGTCAACACGATGGCAAGGATGAGCTTCTCGCTACGAATGCGACGGGAAAACTTGGTTTGTCGGAGCCGCCGCAAGATGCAGATGAAGCTGACTACAATTACCGTGTAGGGAATTAGAAACCCTAACACGAGCTCCAGCATGTACTGGAGGGCCACCTGTGCGTAGGATGAGAAGAAATAATGTAATACTCTAACATTACGTAAGATCACATGAAATGCAGCAAGAGGTAGGCGTTTCAAAAACCACAGATGCCAATGGGATGGACTTTGAGAAATGTTGACAAGTTCACATCTCTGTTAAAAGATATGAGATTAACTGATTTAGGAAGTTTATAAGTACTCAAAGAGAAAGATCAGGGAAATGAGCAAGTCCGTTTTGTTGCTGTTGAATGCTTTTCTCTGTTGCAATTAGAGATGTCCCGATCCGATCACGTGATCGGAGCCGATCACGTGATTTTCAAAAGATCGGAATCGGGAATTTTCTTCTTTTTAAAAAAAAAATTAAAATAATTTGTATTTAATGTTACAAAACAAAAATGACTATGATCACGTCTTAAAGTCATCCTGAGGCCTTAGTTTTGGTTTAAAATTACACAACATCATGTATGTGTTGCTTCTTTTGGGCTTGTTTTCATAGACCTGTTTGCTTATTTCTCTCAAATCTGGCAACAGAGTGGGCAGGGCACAGTGTCCAATAGTAGCAGTAAGCTAACAAGAGGCTACGTTCAGCTGGTGACTCGGGAGTCGGGACAGAGAAAATGTCAGGAGTTTGGAAGTATTATAAAATTGAAAGCGAAGGCAGTGTAACAGCCAGATGCAATGTTTGCAAGAAGGAGGTTCCGCGTGGTGGAAAGAACAGAGCTACGTTCAACACGACCAATCTAATACGCCACCTGAGAAACAAACACCAACAACAACACAACGAGTACACTAGGGCTGTACCCGAATATCCGAATATTCGTTCGTTGGAGTACTATTCGGGTTTCAATTTCGTTATTCGGATATTCGTTTTGTTTGTTATTTCCCCGTTTTTTTTCCAAATTGAATTTATTGAAATCTCCAATATCAACGTAAGAGCTTGTGCCTCTTCGGGGGGTGCTAACACTTAACCATAAACGTTATCGTTTACTTTCTCCGTCTTTATATGTAGATATTACTTTTCTCCGTTAATCTCCGTCACGTTGTTTCCAAAGCAACAACAACTTCCTGTCAACAGCGCTACCTCTCCTTCAAAATAAAAGCATGTCCATAAATAGGAAGCCAAGCCAAATTACACTTAAGACATATACAACTGCAACGAAAGTAACAATGCAATATCCTTTTCAATTTCAAAGAACACAAATTGGGTTACATTAACAAATAACTATAAAACAACAATACTGTTGAATAACAAAATTAATGCCGTGAATACACCGAAATACACGTGTTCAAGCGGTTCGCTGCTGATTACTATTGAATTGTGTTACTCCAGTAAGATGGAAAAATAATGCTTTGTTTATTCATGTTATGTTAAGCTGCTGTTGTTCATTGCATTATTACTAGACTAGTTAGTCTTCAGGCTAGAATTCTGCACTAAGCCACATTTTTATTTTATGTTATTATTTGTGACTGAATGTGAACTTGTGAAGCTAGTCAAGCTACCTCTTTCCAGTAGTTATTTTTGTTTTGTTACTGCACTATCTGCACTCAATTTGTTTACATGGTTATTTTGTGGTGGACCACTGATAAGCTTTATTTTGTTTTGATCCAATGCTGCACAACTGAACTGATCCAATGCTGCTGTGAAAAAAAGAAGCTATATTCATGTTGGATAGAATGGGTAGTTGGGTACTGTCATTTAAATAAAAAAATAACCTTAAGGGACAACTTGAATGCTTTTTTTTCTCTTAATGAATTGCATAAAGATCGGATCGGGAAAAATCGATATCGGCAGATTGTCAAAATCAAATGATCGGAATCGGATCGGGAGCAAAAAAAGGTGATCGGGACATCCCTAGTTGCAATCATTGGACAAAAAATTCTCAGTATGTATACATATGGCAGCTAAGTACATAACTTGTTGGATGACCCCTTAATTAGTTATTTGGTTTCTTTTGGAAGAAAACACTAATAAAGGAATAGCCTAGTATGTTGAGCATTGCCAATTTAAAAAATACATTTAAATAAAATAAAAAGCGAAAACTTTGTCAGTCAAAAGCTGCATTACAACCAATGCAATCCATCTCATCACTCACTTTTGCTTTCCACATAACCTTTTTTAACTGCTAGCAACCAAAGCCGGCTTATAGGTGATTTGTCAATAATGATTTGACTACAAACACAAACCAGAAGGCATCCTACAGGCCCTTTTGCCCACAGATGAGTTTATAGAGATTAAGTAGTAATGACTCTTACTCAGTTGACTCATTTATTCTGCTATCTTTGATAAGAGATAATATCTATATTTCAGATATTTATTTAAAGGGATAGTGGAAATGGAACCTCAAATAGTTTCGTTTTAACTTATATACAAGCATAATTACGTACCAAAACAATCACACCTGATTAAAAAAATATAATAAATGCCTTACGCATGTTAGAAGCAATTTATTGCAGCTTCCCCGAAGTTTTTTAGAAACGAAATGTTCGACTCAGCCAAACCGGAAGTGACGAAAACTTAGGAAGACGATACGATAACAAACCATGGCGTCTATGCAGAATGAACATGGAAGGGCAAATATACCAGACAAAGAAGAAGGATTGTACGAGGTATCCAGTGATGATAGCGAGTCAGAAACATCCTCTTGGCTTTCCTACGAAAATGTCGTTTTAGGAACTGAATCTGAATCCGGTTCAGTAAGCGACGATGGTGACAATATTGAGCCAGACGATGGACCATTACGTCCTTATTTGTTCGAGCCCGAGCCCGAGGTGATGGTTCACGGCATGGGCAATGGCGAGGATGACCAGGACCAGGCGCCAGATGATGCACCCCTACGCACAAATAATCTTGACTGGTAGGTCCCTAAGCATAGCTCACGCATCTTAAGATCACCTGTAGCCTTTACAAATATTAATCATTGTTAACCAGTTAATCCCGAAGGTCCCCCCAGTGGACCCCTCCCACAGTTTTTTTTCTCTCACATGTCTCAGGGCTTCTTAACATTTATGAAACTATTAATGTTTCATACCCTTTTAAAGGTAAGAAACTCCGCTAACTGACAATAAGAACAATTGTTAGCTAGAAAAAACACAAGCGTAATACCAAGCCTTTGAATTAGCATTGAGCGAAACAATGCTAACTAATGCTAACTCTTTTTTACACACAACACACGGTAGAAATGCCCTTATTACTATCTTAACTGCACAAACAAGATATACGATTTAAAGCTGAGACTCCACAGATTCCACACATGTAATCATCACTGTAAGACCTCAAATTCCTATAGCTATCAGCCAGAAAAGAGAAAGTAAACAACATCCGGTTCCAAAAATATTACAATAATTACGTCTTACCTTTTTTGATTTGTGATCAAAAGTTGTGTTCAACGGAATAAAAACGCATCTCAAGGTTAATCCAATGTCGTTGTGTCACGTAGAATTTTTTACTGATAATCAATCATCATATTTATGGCAATATACTCGGCTATTCACATGCAAATGCTATTGAATGTCCGCCATTGTTTGTGCCCGTCTTCCTATGCTCTCGTCATCACCCGAAGATTCCCGACGATTCCCGAAGTATTTAGTTTCATTGAGAGGGCGCAGTAAAATTGAAAATAAAATGAAACTAGGCACATGAAATTAAAAAAAATTGTTTATTATGCTTATTTTTAATAAAAATACATAAGTTAAACCCAAAATTCGCGGATTTCCACTATCCCTTTAAATAAGAAGTGACCTTTGAATACATATTGCAAAACAAAGCCTAAATCACCTGCAGGCTTAGCCAGTGTGTATGTCTTCCTCTACTACAAGATGTCGATGTGTACAAATCTGGGCCATTTATTGTGTAATTTCTCCAAACACATACAGTACAAATGCCTGTATTGGAGTCTTAAAAAGGTGCAGTAGAAGGACTTTAGCAGCATCATAAGAGGCCAACAAGGGTGTGTCACTGTGCTGAAGGAATGTTGTTAACAGCTATCCAGGATAGTCTCTAAAAACTTTCCAAGGGGTAATAATGCTGCTGCTGGAGTACTGATCTAGTGGATCTAGTGTTGATGTCATCTGTCTACCATATCCTCTTAAAATACTCTGTCTAACATTATCTGTGCATTACATTACATGTCATTTGTTAGACGCTTTTATCCAAAGCGACTTACTTATTCAGTACTGTGTACAATCTCCACAGGAGCAATTTGGGGTGAAGTGTCCTCCCCTGATTCGAAGTCCAGCACACTGAGCCACAGTCTCCCAGTATTGTGAAGAACATTTTTCTATCCCTCATCAAATATAGCAGAATACATGAATTATTGTACTCAGGAGGGGAGTTTGACAAAGGATTACTCAAAAAGTACACAGTACAAATACATGATTGTACTTGTGGGAGTAGTCCAAGTAGTACTGAGTCCAACAGTCCCAATTTTATTAAGAACTTATGGCAAAATATTATTTTATCTTTCATCAAAGATAGCTAAAAACATGCATTATTGTACGCGGGAAGGGAGTTTGACAGAGTATTACTCAAAAGGTACACAGCAAAAGTACTTCATTGTATTTGTGGTAGTAGTCTAACAAGTACTGAGTCCAACAGTACCAATGTTATTACGAACTTATGGCTAAAAATCATTTGATCTCTCATCAAATATAGCATAAGTGGCATGATTTTGTTCTCAGGAGGGGACTTTGAGAGAGTATTACCAGTGCATGACATTAAGGATTTTGGGAGATGGCCCTGTGGGTAGGGGTGTAACGGTTCACAAACATTTCGGTTCGGTACGTACCTCGGTTTTTTGGTCACGGTTCGGTTCGGTACAGCAGAATTTTTTTTCACAAAACATATATATATATTTTTTTATTATTATTATTAAACTGTGAATAATGTATTCACTCAAATAAATACAAAATATAATAAAATAAACATTAAGGTGCAGCATTTCGATGAACTGAAATAATCTGTATTTTAACTTTACTGTACTAGTACTCACAAAACATAAACTATTAGTTTTGGGTTTTTAATTACTATTAAACTATGAATATTCACTCAAATAAATACAAAATATAATAAAATGAACATTAAGGTGCAGCATTTCGATGAACTGAAATAATCTGTATTTGAACTGTAGCCTACTGTACTAGCACCTAAGCAGCCAGTTTGACATTAGGACTTGCTTGTCATTGTATTTTCATGTTTTTTTAAATAAAAATTAACTTGTCCACATTGCTTGCCGAAAGGGCAGATCTGCTGGCACTAACAATGTCTCCTGATGTGGAGAAAACCCTCTCGCTAGGGACAGAGGTAGCAGATACAGCCAGGTAGCGCTTTGCTAACATGGCAACATAAGGATATTTGGTGTTTGTAATAGCTTTGGCTCGGTCTGAACTTTTTGTGAGTGGTGGAGGCTTAAATGCTAGTGGGAGTTGGGTTTGCACTTCAGTCTTTTTTCTTTTGGTACCGGTGATATTCACGTTCGGGTGATGCCTTTTCAAGAGTGTGCAAGTTTGATGTATTGCCAGCCGCGTAACCAATTTTAGTTGAACAATGCCGACAAACAGCTTTGGTTCGGTCCACCTGTCTTTGTCCGTCATCCTTGTACGTAACTGCGAAACCAAAATGTTCCCAAACCGGAGACTTCAATGATGCTGGAGGATTTTCGAGCTCAACTTTATCTGCGTTCGCCATTAATTTTTGACAGTTCCTCAAATTACTGACTACATTTGAACGCATCCCTCTGACCAGCTCTCATAGTATGCCTCTCATCCAATGAAATGACTTGCTCGCTCTATGACGCGTTGAAACCAAAGCAAATTACTCTGAATGCTGCGACGCAGCACCTGAGATTACTTCCAAAAAGTTATTCACGTTCTCAATTTTTTACGTTTAACGTTATATTAGTTCGGTACACTTCGGTACACACCTGTACCGAACCGAAGGGCCCGTACCGAATAATTTCGGTACGGGTACGTGTACCGTTACACCCCTACCTGTGGGCCATCTAAGCTAATTTACAGATGGCCCTGAGCCCAATAGAGATTGCCCTGAAAAATGCGCGGACGAAATGACGCACGAAGGGTTTGGGGGGCCTCCCCCACAGTGCTTCTCAAAGTGTGGTCCGCGGACCACTGGTGGTCCGTGAGTGCCCCCTAGTGGTCCGTGAGTATATTGGTAACATTTCACATTTTAAATAAATAAGTTAATTTAAGTTTTCCGCACTCTCGCGGGAATATCTCTGCAATGGAGCAAGCTTAAGTTTCATGAAAAAGTTTGAGAAACACTGCCCTAGAACATTTCGATTTTTGCAGGTCTTAGATGCTGTCTGGTGCATTCTCTAGACTGAATTATAAGATGAACCACCACAATATTATACAATTTCAATTTTTCAGGGCAATCTCTATTGGGCTCAGGGCCATCTGTAAATTAGCTTAGATGGCCCACAGGGCCATCTCCCAAAATCCTTAATGTCATGCACTGCCATCTGATGAAGGCAAATGCCTTCCCAGATGTAAAAAAGTAGAAAACATTACATTCAGTTATAACTGCCAAAACAAACATTATTTACACTATTATGGCCCCTGTTAAAAATGTTTGTAATGTTATCTACTGTAAGTTGGTCGAACGAATGCCTCCTCATCCGGAACCTGACCGAGCAGACCCGAGCAGCAGTCGAGAGGAGCCGAGCGCATCCGCGAAGTCAGAGTTCCCGTTAGCCGGCAAATCTAAATCTCTTCGGTCAAAATGTCCGGTCAAAATAATTTCCCTTTAGAGCAATACCGCTTCAGTTACGCCACTTATGTGACAGACAAGAAGAGTATGTGACAGACATGAATAGTCAATTATAATGTCTAACACTTAATGTGGAGAAAGAGATGTCCTGTATGGGTTGATTGTGCGTTGATCTGTTGGTAATGCCTCGGGGTTCCGGTGGGCATGTAAACAAATGCATAATGCTGCGCTATACTTTGTGGCCTCACCCAGTTGCATAGCGACACTTATTGTTTAGGTGTCTTTTAATAAGCAGGTAGTCATATCATTAGCTAGAACTAGCTGGATCTGATCGATATGGACATAAACGCGAGTGAAGTCTAATCTGACGGGAGAGAGAGATCAGCTGCTGCTGACGAGTCGACACGCAGCTCTGCATGATCACATGCAGCGGTGAGCGGACAAAACGCACACTTCAGGTTAGAATATCACACGTAGGCTTGCTATTTTAATTACCTCTCAAACTACCTAAACTAGTTATAGATATGTTTAGTTTTACTGTCGGGTCACTAATTACTGGATCCACGAGCTGCATGATACTGGCATAATAGATTGCCCGATCGGGCAACCCGAGCTAAATACTAGATGGCCCAGGGCCATCGGGCAGTCCTTAATGTCGAGCCCTGATTACCCAAAAAGTACACAGTAAAAGTAGCCTACTTCATTTTATTGTAGCAGTCAAAATAGGACTGAGTCAAACAGTGTCAGTTTTATTAAGAAGTTATGGTACAAATGACTTGTATTGCAAATAAAGCAGAACAAAACATGCATTATTTTACTCTTGTACAGCGCTTACCGTAACGGCGCTATTAATTGCGCACTCAAAAATGAAGAGCTGCTGATTTGACCAAGCGAACGTGAGAGACGGCTGAGTTGACCGCAGTTATGCAACCGAAGCTAATCTGACTATTTGTTGCTATCCTATTGTGGCATAAGCCGTTTTCTACAGGCACATTTTACCTTTTCATTATGATTCTACTTGTGATAGTCGGACATGACAACCTGTGCAGCCCATGTTCCATCCGATAGCTGCTATAATACAAAACAAAACTTCTGCCTGCTCTCCACAATGATCAATAACAGCGAACGGATGGTCAAAGTAAGGTATAAATAAACAGAATCACACGAAGCCTGGTTAGTGTTGCCTGACTTTATAAAGTGTGTTTTATTTTTTTATAAGTGTTTGGTTGCGTTCTAGTCACTTTGCTCTGCGCTACTGCTTGTTACAACTTTCATTTTCCATATTCGCCATAAACTGTTATTATGGCTCAGGTTAATCTCCCCCCCTCCGACGTGAGTGTGGTTCTTGGTTCTTGCCGGGGAGCCAAGTGGGGTCAGCTAAGAACCGGTTTTCAGTGTTTAGAGCCGGCTCCGCTGCGGCTGAAACAGGAAGAACCAGAGCTAAATCAGGCTGTAGCCCGGAACTGGCTCTGGAACCGGTTTGGTGGAAAAGGGGCAGAACCAGAGAAGAACCAATGAAGCACCAGAAAAGCACAAGAACGGTTCTTGAACCGGAACCGGTTTGGTTTATTGGCGCCACTTATGTGACAGACAAGAAGAGTATGTGACAGACAAGAATAGTCAATTCTAATGTCTAACACTTAATGTGGAGAAAGAGATGTCCTGTATGGGTTGATTGTGCGTTGATCTGTTGGTAATGCCTCGGGGTTCCGGTGGGCATGTAAACAAATGCATAATGCTGCGCTATACTTTGTGGCCTCACCCGGTTGCATAGCGACATTTATTGTTTAGGTGTATTTTAATAAGCAGGTAGTCATATCATTAGCTAGAACTAGCTGGATCTGATCAATATGGACATAAACGCGAGTGAAGTCTAATCTGACGGGAGAGAGAGATCAGCTGCTGCTGACGAGTGGACACGCAGCTCTGCATGATCACATGCAGCGGTGTGCGGAACAAAACACACACTTCAGGTTAGAATATCACACGTAGCTATTTTAATTACCTCTCAAACTACCTAAACTAGTTATAGATGTTTAGTTTTACTGTCGGGTCACTCATTACTGGATCCGCGAGCTGCATGATACTGGCATAATAGATTGCCCGATCGGGCAACCAGCAGGTGAGGCTTCATTGCCCGAGCTAAATACTAGATGGCCCCGGGCCATCGGGCAGTCGTTAATGTCGAGCCCTGTAATGTGGCATTATGAAATACAAGTCCCCTGAAATAAATAAATGTGGCATTATGAAATACAAGTCCACTGAAATAAATAAATGTGGCATTATGAAATAAAAGTCCCCTGAAATAAATAAATGTGTATTTAAAATGTACATTTATTTATAGCCTTATTTATTTATTTCAGAATGTATTTCATAAGCTTATTTATTTCATAGGCATATTTATGTATTTATTTAATTATTTATGTATTTAATACATTTTGGCTTAAACGGCATTCCATACTCAGCAGCCTTTCTGATTTAAAAGAAGCCATTTTGGCTCCATCTAGTGGTTTACACAAGTATCAATACTATGTGGCACCAACATTTTAGATCCTGGTTCCTAAAATCATTACATAACATTATAAGTGCTTTACTTTCTGTATTCAAGACATGGGATGTTGACTATACACTCTAGAGGCAAGGCAAGTTTATTTATATAGCACATTTCAACACAAGGCAATTCAAAGTGCTTTACAAAAATGAAAGACAGCCAGAGTGCCTGCATATGTGCATGAATTAGCAAATGGGGTTCACAAACCACACATACAGTGATGCTGGTAGTTTGTGCCTAATATTCAATATCTTTAATATAAAAATATTTCAATATTTTTATTTTAATATGAAATATCAAGACACTAAGATTCTATCCTCATGCTTCAACTGAACTTCTTTTATAATGATATACGAGGCTACTATATTTTTCATTTGAAACTAAAATATGCCCTTTAAAATGGTCACATTTGAGAAACTACATGCATAGAATTGCATGGAGCTTCTTTTGAAAAAAATAGAAAGTTGTAGCTAGTAGCTAGTTGTAGCTAGTAGCTAGTTGTAGCTAACCGCCTATTCTGACAATAAACCTACCAATTAATGTTAGCATTAGCATACTCTTAAGAGACACAAAGACTAATAACGTAATAACATGTTTAATGTTCATGAGAACATATTTCTAAGACAGAGATAAAGATGTGAAAAGATTAGGAGGTTGCAGTGCTTTGTTCTGCTTAGCTACCCAACATGCCTGCAGCTTGTTTTGTTTGACTCACTCATAGCTGCAGAATTAAATCTGTATCCTGAATTCGATGCGTCATCTTTCTGCTGCTGATGGTCTGCCGAACTTTCTTTGGAAGGTTTATTTTATGGCTAAATAGTTTCTAAGTTTCTTAATTGTCACACAGTCAAAAAATAAAGCCATTTCAGTATGCTCTCGGTGTGGCGCGTGTTTCGAAGCAGTCTCTAATTAGCAATGTGCTCATCTTCCGGCACAGTCTGCCCTATCAAAAATAAAAATACATTTCATAGCAATAAAGTAATAACTATAGCGTTTGACCATCTTACCTTTCATGCAACATCCAGATTGATGTTTTGAAAGTTTACTTTTTTTTATTATTGACATTTGGGGGAGCTGTTGAGCTCTATAACACAGACAGAGACACTTTAAACAAAGGTTAGATTCCTCTTTGTTGTCAGGAAAATTCAGTGCATTTTTTATGCAATTAGTTTTATTTCACGTCACCTCTTAGGTTGATATACTAAATATAAAAGGTATTATCTTGACGCTTTAATTTTTTCTTGACCTTTTTTCCCCTTTTCTATTATTTGTAAAGGCTACTGTCAGTTAGTTACAAAAAATAACTCCACCTTATTTAAGGGGAACTCCACTGACACTTACATCAAGGTGAGTTTACATGTCATGAGAAGAACTAATCAGCCTTTTAAAAGAGTTTTATAATGTATTTTGTGGGTTTGAAAGTATTCTGAGGATAATTATCTTTAGTTATCTATCAATTTCATGATGTCATCGGAAAGTCAGAGATACAAACTAGTGATATTGTATGAGTGTTAGTCCAAAGTTTTATCACAATATAATATCATTTTGATTCCTTTGCACACCATTTGCTGATATCTCAAAGTCTGCCATGATACGATTTTTTATTTAATCAAATTCAGGGGCCTGATATTATATAATATGCATAATTAACACATGCATCATGTCATTAACTGATAAAAAGCCCCATAAAATGATTTAATAATTGAATTACTGTTTATTTAGGAAAGGGATGACCTTGGACGGAAATGGGTAATAAGTCAAGCCATGGACATTTCAAAATAAAAGGTGTATCTTAAAGGCATAAGTGCTGCACTATCCCTTAAAGTGTCAAATAGGGCAGTTAGGATAATTTGATTTGGGTGAATCTGTGTTAATTATGCATAAGTGGTATGATTAATGTATTCTTCTTGCACTGATGTTATATCAGGTCAACGTTATGTTACTTTGAGCAGCAGACCCAACTTAAACTAAACCTTTCATTTTTTAATGAAATGTTTACCTGGTTAAATAACCACGAGGTCATACATGCCAACGCAGGTGTTACGCTCCCAAAAAAGCTACTGGAGTGAACCTGCACACTGGGCACGGAGACTGAAGTTAAGTTGAACAAAATGTTTATTTTCAAACAGGCTTGGTCTGTGGGGGTTGGGCTGAAGCAGGGGACAGAGCAGGAGTGAAACAATCTAAAAACAGGGGAAAAGGGAATCCAAAAAGTCAGGGCCAGGGATTGTACCATGTGCTGGGGTGGAGGACAGAATCCTGGGATCTGGGGTCCCGAGGGAGCAGGCTGAACCAGGGGAGTGAGGGAACACGGAGGAACACAGCAGGAGGGAAGGTGGCTGGGCGCGGCAGAAAGAGGAGCAGGTAGTTGGTCACTGGACAGGGGGAGCACAAGTTAGAATTGCAACAAAAACTTTAGATAACAAGGTTTAGCTAGAAGCTAAATTAGCCGAGACGTTTTTACTAGTGATGTTACGTATTGCGCCGAGTCTTCGGAGCGTGTGTCGAGTAATCCCCGAAGCTTTTTGTGATGCATGTTTGTATCGAGGCTTGTATCGTTTTGGGCCAGTGACGTCATCGATGACAAACGAAGCCTCGCTGCCTGTCGACACCACGTGACTGCTTCAGGAAGCGATTCAGATCGGTTCCCACCTCTTTCCCTCGCTTACCAGTCAGTCTGAGCTATGTCTTACCTATTTGTATGCTTTTACTGTCTGTCCATAGCCTTTATGTGCCTTGTATTTATTCTTATGTGTGCTTTTTTATCTTTTCTTATGTGTGCTTTTTATCTTTTCGTGTAATATTATATTTTATTATAATGTTATACATTGTGAAGCACTTTGGCAAACCCTCTGTTTTTAAACTGTGCTATATAAATAAAGTGGATTGGATTGAATTGGATTGGATCGGTTGAACCACAACGCTCATAATACCCATGGATGTATACTAAGAATCATATTACCCCTCCTGTACCCGGGCCCGGTGACACGATGGAATCAAGAGAGCTCAGACCCTCACTTATATAGAGGTCGGAACACGTCATAAGTATAAATAGATACAAGCATAAATAAATGTAGGAATAAAAACATGAACAAATAAATACTAAATATGTTGCAGTGTTTTCAGGGAGCTTTAGTGTGTGTGCTGTGGCTCAGCTGGAAAGCAGTTGACCAGGGTCCCTGGTTCAACGACTGAACAATGCGTATTTTTTCTTGTTTATAAAAGCTACAGCTAAATGAAATAATGTAGTTAATAAATGTATTCTTTGATATGGTTTAGCCTTTCTGAGGCTACAACATGGTTAAGTTTATGAATATTATTAAGGAATACAAATCCCTCTTTGCAATGTTTACCAGCCTCCTTAGGCTTTTCAATCACAATCATTAAACTGGAATAAATACAATATTGTTAACATGAAAATATGATTTAATGTTCGTTGTTTAGATGTATTCTAAGGCTTTACTCAATGGGAACTCGGTATGAGATAGAGCACACTGTTGAGATGTCCAATCTGCCTGTTTTACACACTTTGACCAACAGGGGGGTTTGTGTTCAAATGAAGCCCATGATGAAGCCTCATGAGATGAACCCTTTTGCGAACCAATTGGCTGGAAAGCTTCATTAGGCTTCATCTCGCCATCACTAGTTTTTTACCACCGGTGGTTAGACGACGAACTGGAGAGTACTGGGTTGCGTTCCGATAATCCAAAAATCAGCTCCTAAATTCTAACCCTATCTCCTATTCCTTGACCTCTGAGTGAAACGTCACGGGGTTAAGGGATAGTGGATAGGAGAATTCAAAAGGATTTAGGAGAAGAGACCGCGGTACTTTAGAGAATCCGAATGCACTTTCACTATCCGACGTGTTTATGATGCGCCAGCGGACGTCCTGAATGTGCGTCTGCTGCTGTGGGGAAACTATGGAAACTACAGTTTTCTATACAGCGGACTACAACATGGATGTTCAATAAGAACGAGGGACTACTGTAAACTCATCTAGAGACTCTGCACCGTGCTCTGACGCTGTTGCTTTATGCTTTATGAACGGGGACAACAGAGAAACATATTCTTCATGACCAAAGCTGGAATTGAAATAAAAAAGGAAAGTGAAACTTATGCTCGTCACCCTCTCCCTCCGGTCCACATTAATACAAATGATCCCAATACGTATGATTGTATGAACTATGAAAATATCTTAAAATCAATACAAATGTATTTATTATAAACGTTAGTCCTTAACATCTATCACTGTGTATATCACCATTCAAACATCTTTTAAAAGTTGAACAAACCCCACACAGCTCAGTAAAGACTGTGAAATGTTGACTTTATTTGATCATTTCAGTAAAAACTAACGTTCATATTTCTCTTTTTGATTATAATACTGATGAACGTTCAGAAAAAAGCACTTTGGCAACTTACCACATACGTTTTAAAATGCTTAATAAGCACCGTAACTTTCATGATATAATTTCTCGGTCATAATCGGTTGTTTCCGTGAACGGCCGACTGTTGTGATGGCAAATGCTGCAGCTGCAATGCATTGTGGGGCATCATTTTCTCCTCTCCTTTCGGTTAGGGAGGTCCAGTGGTTCCTAAGCTAAAGGAGGTTATAAAGGAAGTTTGAAACCTCCTTTCCTTTCATTTGGAGAATTGGAAAGGCACTTATCATGGCTGCCAGTGACGTACTTCCGGGTCATTTCACTCCGTTAGGAAGGTTCCTAAGCTAAATGGACTATTGGAATGCAACCCTGGATGAGGGAACCGGGTTAATATGCAGGTGTGGTGAGTAGTTACAATCAGGGTGACGAGCAGCAGCTGAGGAGGAGTGGAGGCGGGAATCCAAAAGTAGGTCAGCCACGCCCAGCCAGGAAGACAGACAGACAAAAACAAACACACAGGGGAAAAGATGGAGGTAGAACTGTGGATCCTCACAGCAGGAGCTGACGTCGAATGACATTTGTGTCAATTCCAATTCCAATTATTTGTTCTATCTACTCTCCAAAAAAACGAGGGCACATAAGTCACAACAATTAATAATTTGTTGTTTCCATTAGTTACTGTAAGGCTGATTAGCTGTGATTGTGTGTGTGTGTGTGTGTGTGTGTGTGTGTGTGTGTGTGTGTGTGTGTGTGTGTGTGTGTGTGTGTGTGTGTGTGTGTGTGTGTGTGTGTGTGTGTGTGTGTGTGTGTGTGTGTGTGTGTGTGTGTGTGTGTGTGTGTGTGTGTGTGTGTGTGTGTGTGTGTGTGTGTCCAAGCCAATTGCTGAGTCGTCTTTTTTGTGTACAGGTTTGCAATCTTTTAGCTTTCCAAGTCCCCTATTTCTGGGACGGAGCATATTAGCTCCAAATATCCAAATATACAAACCGCCATGAAAGAATTAGAAAGAAAGAAAGTAGAAAGCTTTTGCTTTGAAATCATCTTAATGGTCCTGCATTTGGTTCGTTTTAAAAGTCACACCTTAAAGATAACTCTGCCAACAGGATCTCCTTAACTCATCAAACTGCCCAAACACAGTTCAATAGGGACATAATTTAGACCTTTTAAAATAGGAATAATTCCCTTTGAAAAACAGGACAATTGCTTGAAAGGTCAATTTGTTGCAAATGAACAAAATTAAGTGAATACAACGCTATTTTGTATATTTGTAGTCAAACAGCTGTTTCTAATTTCAAGAATGGTCTTTGGAGGCCTACTTTATTAGGATAGTGCTGACCTCTTTAGATAATTTGGTTCTCACGGCATATCGGGGCCTTGGTTGCTATGTAGGGAGTTGACACTGTTACTAAGCTACTTACATTTTGTCGTCTTCCTGGAGTACAGTTGTGTCTCCAGGATGTTCTCATGCTGACATTGCTTGATGTCCATACACTGTCACTTACCTAATTCAAATATGACTCATGTTTCCTGTGAAATCGTTTCTTTTTTGTATTTTAATCAAAGGCCAGCTCTGAAGCTTTACAGTCTTGTAACATGGCAGTTTTATTCAGGTGTTATGAAATAGAGGAGAGAGCTGAGGCAGGAAATAGTGAAACAAATATGTTGTGATGAAATGTTTCTTGTGCAATGATCTGTCCCAAGTATTGCATTAGGGAAAAAAACAATTCACTTTGCAAGCCAGTACTTCATCTTGATTCTTTATGAAAAACACACTGCATTAGAAATTCAATATAAAAAAAGCTTTATTAAGTTTGAAAATACCAAATACAAATTAAATGTAGAAGAATATAACCTTTTCCACACATCCAAAATATGTCGTAATTTACATATATCTAAAAATATATATATATAGGCCTACTTTATATATATATCAAACATTTATTGGGGTTTATAGCAAATAAGGCATGGTTAATATACAAACAAATGCTATTGATTTTGTAAAAAAAATAATAAAAGCAACACAAAAAATTATGTTTTTGGTGTGATGGTCTATCATTAAAAAAACTATCCTTTCTCCAACACAGCAATGGACACAGGTACTGTGAGGACATACAAAGGTACAGTGGTGCTACAGTATGAGGTTATTGGGTGTACCAACATTTATGACAATCGATCCAATTATTGTCCATTTGTCAATTTCATTAAACAACATACATTTCTCACGGTGGGCATAGAGGAAGAGTCAGGGGATCTCTAAAGTCATTAGGGTTCATCATGGGGACTATGAATGTCTATACACAAGTATACACCAATCCATCAAATGTTCACAGATATATTTTATTTGATTTAAAAAAAACAAACATGTTGGCCAGACCATTAGGATTCATCTATAGGCATAAATACTTTTTGTACCAAATGTCAAGGAAATACATCCTATAATTCAATGTGTGAGTCAACACAGTGTATCAGTTTAGTTGGCTGGCCAGAGTCCTGAGTTCAGGCTCGTCCGCCTATTTTCCCGCCACGCTGCCACTCCTGTCCTTTTCCTTGCTTTTGAACAGCTTCCCCAGTTTCATCGACAGGGTGTTCAGAGCGGAGCGCTCGTCCGATATAGAGCTGTAGATCTGCGGTTAATGTGTCCGCTCCGGGTGAAGGTATACGTGGTCATGTTCTCCGAGCTGGTGGCCTCGAAGAGCTTGCCCATGAAGCTGAAGCCGGCCTGGCGGATGTGGGAGCTGCCGGCAAACACGTACAAAATGGGATTGACCGCACTGCTGAAGTAAGCGAATGCCGTGATATTTGGACGGGCTGCAAGGGCAACTGTAACAGCGGATTTACTGTCCTGCAAAAGGCCCACCACCTGTTGAAGGGAGAAGAGAGGGGAGATTAATAAATAAATCACATAACTGCTCTGGTAAATTCACCCTCATGTATATGTCCAATCAATTGGGCAGAAGAGCATCAGAGTGTCATACTCAGCTCACTTGTTCATTAGAGTCAGTTTTACTATGCCCCTTTTTTCTCAATTTGAGTTAAAAAATAAAATATGTATTTACCTGTAGCAGTTTCATATAAAAAGTTAAGAGCCACTGTAGGACTTTAAATATGGAAATATATTAGCAGGAAGTGTTGATTTTCAGTCACATAATACAAAATTGAAGAAACAGCAAAGCGGAATCAGCTGCATAGTGTGAATCCTCTGGCCTCTGTTTATCTATGAAGTTCCCCTGGGGCCTGAGCAGCATTGGGATTTATGGGAACAGCAATAAGCTCAAGCTTCCCCTTCGGCTTGGTCAAGGAGGAATTTATTGTGGCATGGTCATGAGAACATCTGAAGACCACAGGATTGAGGGACTCCAAAGTGGAAGGCACAGGGATTGTTCTGCGGACAGGGAGGAATTTGAGGAAGACCGAGGCAGTCCAGCAGACGGAGGCTTGGTTGAAGCACAAGGACCTCATTGGGAGTGTGGCACAGGGCAGGGCCAGACTTGGGAGCGCAAAATAGCTGCTCCAAGGCACTGAGCGAGGGGCACTATCGCGTGGAGGGCTGCCCCAGGCCAACTTGTGGCCCCACGCAAAGTTATGTGATGAGGCCCTCTGTGTCGCAAACGTCGAATGGGGGGGGAGGGGCTGCTAGTGGAGCGGCAAAACTGCGGCGCGCTTAACTGCGGCCTATTTGCGCATCAGATGAGGCTCTCTACGCGAGGCGAGGCTCCCTCCGCGAAGTGACGCCCCACAGAGTCTGCGTGATCTGCGTGTAGGGAGGGGCGGGCCTGATCAACCTTGGTTGGATTGCCTGGAAGAGGGTTGTCTGATACCTGCACATAAAGCACATGTATATGGCATATAATATAATCAGGAGAAATGTCTAGCCCATGTAAGTCAAACTCTGATCAACTAAATTATGAGTAAAACTCACCTCTATGATGTTGACGATGTGATACGGCAGCCAGAATACTGCAAAGGTACAGATGACCATCAGGATGAGGTGGCTGCCTTGTGCTCGGCGCTGGAACTTGGCACTCTGCAGACGACAGATGACGGAGGAGTTACAGGTGTTGATGAGGGAGAAAGGCAGCAGGAAGGCCATGATGGTTTCAAACAGGTACTGGAAGACCCGATGACCCTTGCTCTTCCAGTGGTATGGCACGCAGGAGCACAAAGTGATATTGTTTGGGAAAGTACTCCTCATCTCCAGTCTGTAAATTCACATAATTAATGCTCGAATGGATTAACCAGCCCTCATTACAGTATTTCCATTAAAAACTAGCCTTTATAAAATGAGAAACTAGATATATTTCAAGAAAAGACAAATGTTTGTCTCACCTGCGGTAGAAAGGCATCGGGACTGACAGGAGCAACGCTAACACCCAGACAACAAGCAGAAGAATCAGGAGGGAGCGCTTGGTTCTCATTGTCTGGAACAGAAACGGCCTGGACACGGCCAGCCAGCGGTCCATGCTCATCAGGCAGATGAGGTAGATGGACACGTACATGTTCACACTCGATAGGTAATGCACCAGCTTGCATGCTGCCAAGCCAAACTCCCAGCCTCGTCCTCCAGCCAGGTAGCGCAGGAAAAAAGGGGCGCTGAGCAGCACGAAAGCATCCGCCATGCTCAGATTTAGCAGCAGCAAACAGGTCACTGAGCGCATCTTCATCCGGCACAACACTGTCCAAATAACAAACAGGTTCCCAGGGAAGCCCAGCAAAAAGGCCAGGGTCAAGATGGCGATGCCGACCATGGCGTTGATGGACAGAGGAACAGACGAATAGGAGGACTGCTGGGAGATGGTGGTGGTGATATTGGATGCCATCAGGAAAGCCTGAGAAGAATCTGAGTGAGGCTTTGACCACTGTGACATTTACACAACCTTTTAAACAGAAAATGAATTAGGTGCCAATGTGTGTCAATGCTTCGAAAGGTTACAACTGTTTTTACCTTATCTGCTACTCTAAATCTACACTACATATTTATAGAAAGTGATGTTGCCTGTTATCAGCAAACATGGACCTCAAAAGATTATTAACTGCCTTTTTCCAGATAGTAAGGATTGATACGATATAACTTTTTACACATCTTTATAACAAAGATGCTTGAAATGTTTCACCCATAAGACTTGTGTACGTTACAGTATGTTTGAATTTTGTGCATCAGACAAATGGAAAATGACTGAACATGAATAAAAAAAGAAATACTTTTACCTAATTTCTAGATTAACCTGTTAAGCACTGAGCCTGTTTTTCAGGTCTCAGGCTCGAAAATGACATTCCCAGAACAAATTGCCATATATTCCCTTCTAAAAGGGTTAAATTCATAATCTTTTTTCTCAAAGTAATGATAAACCTGTGAGTTGGATGTAGAAAAGTCAAAATCAATATAGATGTGTTTTACCCTGTATCAAGATTGATGCAAAACAAGTGACATTTTACCTTTTACCAGGTTTAGCAAAAAAAACTCCACCTCTGAGGTGATTTGGGTGGAAATGGGCGTTTTTACCGTTTCTCTGGAACCCATTGGCCAATTTTGGTGATTGACATCTCTTTTTGAACGTTAGAGCCAATAGAATCGAAGGAGAATTTCCACATCCACACACATGTTTACAAAAAAAGGTGGGGGCTTTGTGCATGCAGGTTTGGATCAGAGCGAACCTATCTTTCGCTCTGACATCTGGAAACGGAAAAGCCAACCCAGTCTCACAAAAAAACGTTCAATAACTACGTTGGTCCACAACTTGGAACGTAGTATTTATACAAAAACGCCTCTGAAATTGTAAGATCCCTACGTTTTTTTTCACCATTCATTCCAATGGCTGGCGTCTATGTCACGTGATCTTCAAATTTCTCCCTGCAGAAAAAAAAAACATGGCCGACATTCGTTTTATTCTCGGTGGAAAATGCCTATTTTAAGGTTAGTTTGGCCATTAAATTACGTTTTGATGTCATTTGATGCGAGAAATATGAGTTGTTATTTCAGATTATGTGTATGTGCACATGATCTTTAGTTTGCTAGTTATTATGAATTATGAGTTGATTACTTCAGGAAATTGTGTCCATTCAACGTTTTCATTGTTACCAAGGTGGTCGCTGACGCTGGTATCAATATTATTTCTGTTATGTTGTGTAACTGTTTAATGGTGTTATCTTTATTGTTACCCCCTTCCCCGTCAATTTATAGTGTTGGTCCACAGCGCAAACATATTAGTTTAACAAAATCTGCATCTAAAATTGTGGCATAGATCTACGTTATTTTCCCCTGTGCAAATCTCCAGCCCAGTCTCACATCTCACATCACATCGTCATAGACAAATACCGGAAACAGATAACAAATAATACTTTGTTCCGAGTGTGCTTGCTTTTCTCTTTGAAAGTCATCACATAACGGCATTGTAATACACGGTTCGGCTACATTAAATATTACATATCTGCCGTAGTTCTCTATCTATAGGGCCGTGATATGAAGACTTCTCGACAAACATGAGGAACTGCCGCCAAAACTGAAAACGTGACGTGGATCATAAATATATCAGCAATTAAACAACATCTTACATTTCTTTTCACACAATACGTCTCCTTGCAGTATCATACGGAGCCCCCTAAGGGACATGGAGAAGAAAAAAAGAAAAAAATTGAAAACTAATTTTTTTTGCGAGATCTCGCAAAACCCCTTTGCGAGATCTCGCAATACTTTTCATTTAGTACTTCCTGGTCAGTTCGGCTGCTACGGCAACACAGAAACCACAACAATGGAGTGGTTCATCGATTTTACTTTGAGCTTGGCCTTAAATATAAAGATATAACATCAGTGCTTGGCAATAGGCACGGGTTTCACACATAGACTGTATATATAAAGGGTTTCACATAAGTGAAGACACCTCAAGAGAACACTCAGAGCGAGGGGACATGCACGTCCCTCTGAGCTGAGTTATTGACAGATTCGAATTTCGCGGATCAATAACTCATGAACATAACGAGTAAAAATACAAACAACATGACTTTACAATCATAGCAAGGTAGACAACGAGCTACAGAGTCGTTTTGATCAGAACAGTTCGATACGCGCCGTCATCCGAGCTAAACATCAATAATTGGTCACAATCTGCAGCTGGAGGAGGGAGAGGAGTGCTTAGGGACCGCGAGATCTCGCAAAACATTTTATTTTTATTCAAATAATTTTTTCTTTTCTTCTCCATGTCCCCTAGGGGGCTCCGTAGTATCACCACTAATTCGGCTGACTTTTATATTTGATCCAATTGGTAGATAGGCTGTATTTACACCATAACGGTGCAAAGCTGATATAAAGGGACACCTAGTGGTTAAAGCATGTTATTGAATTTCATTATTTTTATTGTTAGATATTAATAGGATCCCTATAAAGTATATTCATTACTCGTTATTCTCTACTAATAGTTAATTAAAGACTGTATATAATGACTATTTTGTACATCCCTTTCAAAATGTCAAGATTTTCTAAGGTTTATTGACAGGGACGTGCACAGACATTTGGAGGGGCTATTGCTCTAAACTGGAAAAAGGGCCTCTCCCCCCCCCACCCCGGAAAAAAAACACAAGACCTTTTGAAAATTCTAACTTGTTTTTAATGTAAAAGGTTCATAACATAAAAACACAACACTGTTATTGCAAGTGACACTCAGTTGACTTTTATGTCCACTGCTAAATTCTTTATTCAGGCACATTTTTAGTTGTGCGGTCCAAATCTCATTGAAATATCTAATGTTGGTAACTATTAAAGAAAAAATGGGGACAATTCTGTTTTAATGTAGTTTGACCATTGTAACTGCTGTGCAGACATACTGATGAAATAGGGCTTCTAATTAATTGCCTTAAATAAACTCACTAATGAAACCAGTTCAATTCACCTTATTCTTATCATTCTTTATGAGCGCAGTAACGGTAAGGCATCTAATTACTTATTTATTTAGTATTCCATAATTTAATAACAGAGATGGTCAAACTGAAGTGGCAGAAATCCTACAATGAAGCGGGACGGTGAAGTGTTCTCCGTGAGAGGGTGATCAAGAAAAGAAAGCGAGCGGCCCCGTCGAGGGAGTTTGCGGAGCAGAGTAAAAGACACAGAAAGACAGAAGCACACTAAAAAGTATATTTAGGTGGTTTTTTGGTAAATAACCGACGGTGTCAAGAGGAAGTAAAGTCCCCTGATTTGTCCCTTATACTCTAACGCCAGGCAGGCATTTGGTGTGATCACCATAGCCATATGAGGCCGGAGGGCTTTCCTTTGCTTCCAGCTGTCAGATTGTAAACAAAGTCACGTGACTGGGAGCAGATGACAGCGCTGAAAAGGTGTGTTTCCCGCAGTGAGACGCTACAATACTAATTGTGGGTTTATCATGTTGATTCGGCCACAATAGAAACAAAATAAAAACTGCTCTCTCCAGAGGGGCAGGTCAGACAAAAATGGCAAACGGGCTGTTGCCGGCGACATTAGCCCGTACGTGTGCACGTCCCTGCTTATTGACATATCATATACACAACTACGGTGTAGTTATGCATTGAATGAAGTGGAGGTACACACATATTGATAGATGTCTTTTAACGATCAATAAATAAAGAACACAGAATTATTAAATATAAAACACAGAATTTGTGTGATTATACTAAATGATTTACAAATAAACACCACTGCATATTTACAACTGTTACACATGTAACGCAAATGTTTCCAACTTGGGATCAATAAAGTATATCTTATCTTAAGATGATCGATGGCTACTGCCATATTTGCAAAACTTGCCTCTGAACCTTGACAAGTGCATGTTTCAGGCTTATCAATTAACAACAGGAGGGGTCAAGACCAGCTGTTAAATAAAGCTCTTCTGACCTTAGCTGGCATGTGGGTATATATTAATGCTGCCCATTATGGGCACAAGCAATTTTCACCCATTTATTAATTATATGTTTTAAATTTGAGTGTTTCCTATTCCCTAAACCTCCAGGGATGTACACAGTTTAATACTGGCAAGTTCTTATTATGGGAAATACGAAAACATCTTTTAAAACTACAATTCCCAGTAGAGATGTGCCATAGAGAACATGTTGCGAAACACAATAGCTAGCATATGTAGTTCTGGGGACGGGGTGGGGGAGGGGGGGACGCGGTGGACCCATTCAAATCCAGTTTTGGACAGTCTGCCGTGGTTCCATCCCATTTCAAGCAGTGGCGTTTTCTCCTGGAGGCTCCTGTTTTTTCGGATTGTAGTTATAATTTTAATAAATAAATAAAAACACTTTGTTTAGTTTCGGTAATTTTTCTGTGCTGTGTGTTGCTGCCGGCCCATCTCTCCCCCATTCTCATTGAGTATTTTACAAAGAGTAAAACAGCGCCCCTCTAGATGTTATGGTGAAACAGTAGATTGCACTCTCTGTTGCGAGAGGAGGCCAGCCGAAATTGGCTTCCCTTGGTGAAAAAAATGGAGGGATTGACCAATCAGACAAGGCTCACGTCATGCCCCTGCCAACCTGTGATTAGTCAGGGCCATGCCAAGGGAAGCCAGAGGCGGCTGGCTTCCCTTGCCTCACAATCCAATCAAATCGCATCAACTTAGTGTTGCAGTGACGCATCCTAAAACCCGGAAGTAAGCTGCGCTCAGTTTCCCTCTACAAAAAATCAATGGGATTTCACCATAGGATTTTTGGAAAATAGCTCGAAATAAGGTCAGTGGAAAACGAACCTGTTAAATAAATGCATGTTGTGTTCAGTCGGATAATATCCATATGTCTATACTTTTATAATTTTCGAATCATAAATCTAATCGATAGAAGATAGATAGCGTCACTACTGCACCACTCTCACCGCCGTTAGAAACTAGCAAGCAACTGAAGCAAGTGCAATTATGGAGGGCGGAGATTTGGAGTATTTAATCAAAAATAATTGTACTAAACTTCCGCTACAGCAGCAACAACAAATACAATCTGATGACAGGCCAATGCCCAAACTGGAGCTGTGTACAGCGAGGAAAAAAGGAGCGAATCAAACGTAAAACGTTAAAGGTCTCCTGATTTAGTTTGTGAATGAATGCTTATTAGAGTTTCGGCTGGAGAGTGCGTGCGGCCCTGTCGATTAGATAACAGGCACAGTAAGTCCTGCATCTGTATGATACAAATGTGTGTAAAATGATACCGGGTTCTGTAATTACTCATCTGGTTACGTTATTACATTGACCACCACACCCCGACCCAAAAGAAAGGACGTATTATTGGCTTCCCCTATTTTTTTCCCCACGCCACGCTACTGATTTCAAGTGCTGTTCGACGCTCGGCGTAACCCTCGGAGCACACTCAAACATCCAATCACAGAGCTTGAGGACTATCACGGGGTTTGTCAAGCGAAGCGGAGAGAATACTTACTTCCGGGTGTAATATTCTCTAAAGCAAATGAGCTGCTCCGACCCTCGTTCCTGACGGACTCCAACTTGTGTTTATTAATCAAACAAATAAATAAACACAAGGCTAATCATGTGTTATTGTTGAGTAAATTGAGAATTGCACAGAGGAAAATAACGTAGATCTATGCCACAATTTTAGATGCGGATTTAGTTAAACTAATACATTTGCGCTGTGGACCAACACTATAAATTAACGGGGAAGGGGGTAGCAATAAAGATAACACCATTAAACAGAAATAATATCGATACCAGCGTCCCTAGCAACCACTTTGGTAACAATGAAAACGTTGAATGGACACAATTTCCTGAAGTAATCTTCGTAATAACTGGCAAACTGAAGATCATGTGCATCCACTGCACACATAATCTGAAATAACGACTCATATTTCTCGCATCAAATGACATCAAAGCGCATTTTAATGGCCAAACTAACCTTAAAATAGGCATTTTCCACCGAGAATAAAACGAATGTCGGCCATGTTTTTTTTTCTGCAGGGAGAAATTTGAAGATCACGTGACATAGACGCCAGCCAAAAAAAACGTAGGGATCTTACAATTTCAGAGGCGTTTTTGTAGAAATACTACGTCCCAAGTTGTGGACCAACGTAGTTATTACACGTTTTTTTGTGAGACTGGGTTGGAAAAGCAGGTTTACTGCTTATGGATTATCAGAAATAATTTCAAAGGGACACAGACACGTTGGATTAACCTATGGATTAACTTCAGCAGCGTTTTTATCGTTTTAATGCCATTGAAGACCACTTTTGACCAGGCTCAGCGCTAGCTTTGTGGGTATAAAAAAAAAAAAAAAAAAGATCAGTTAGCTGAGTTTCTTCCTGTTACATGGATATAAAACATTCATAGTTTATTGAATATTAAGATGCCCTCAGACGCTGTTTCCTGCAGATGACGCATTTTTCCCCCCCGGTGTAGAACAGGTTAATGTTTCACTTCCTGTATGTTGTCCCTACTTCTATTTCATTTGTATACCATTTGCCAAATAAGACAGAGGGGAAAGCTTCACATTTCTGATATATCTTTTCATTTCAAGTTTTTCTGATCAGGGTCAAAGGACACCATTGAAATGTAGACGAATATTTCCTTTTTTCTCTTATACCTGGGAGACAGCTCCTTGTAAGTAGAGGCACATGTTCCCAAATTGTCTCACAAATTATTCTGAGAGTGTTAGTGTAGTTTTAGACCAACAAATTACTAACAAGGCAACCTATGGAAAACTGTGAACTTTTGAACTTTATTCTAAACAACTAAAATCTTTATTTAACTTCAAATCTTCTTGTCTCCGGGCAGACAGCAACAGAGAGCTGCAGTCTTTGTGTTGGAAAACAGAAACAGTCATGTTCATGAGTATTTTTAACTTAACATTTATGTTTGTCTGACTGATTTAACATTTTATAAAAATATACAGGAAACTTATAAAAGAGATTTCAGTCCAAAAGTTGTATTAGACGTGAAATGTTTCGGTCAGACTCCAAAATAAATATATTTTAAGTGTAATATATTAACAAGTAACATTTGCATACTGACCTTACTGCTGATCTCTTTTAAAGCCCACGACGGTAAGTCCACTTGAAAAATGTACAAATGTAAACCTATTTGAGACCTTTCCTGATCTGCTGTTAACTCCCAGGCTTTATCCTTTGAAGAGTGTGGAGAGAAACAACAAAGTTCAAATATTGTTGTAGCGGTTGTTCCTCCTACTCATTGCTTTCTGCTTATATGATACTGGTAGTGTATGCATTCCAGCTTGATCGAAAACATGTTGACACCTGAAACCTGTGTGGAACACACACAATCGAGGCAGCGAAAACAGTTCCTCCTTATGACAGAAAATAGTGAATATCATGGAGAGAAAATCTTGTAGAACTGGTGGCATTATTTCAGAGAAAAAACAATACAATTATCGTCACAGGTAATCGTCATGAGGGATATTTAGTGGGTGAATATTCCAGCAAGCTGTCAGGATCTTGTTGGTACATGAGTGTTGAAGCATATCTCTGCCATCTGCATTATCTGCTCTTTCACCAGAAATCTTGGCAGATGTGCAGCATATTCCTCGTACATACCACCCCCGTTACCTAACGAAGTTGAGATGTGTCACATTTGCATTACAAGATGGTAGCCTTCATTTTAAATTTTTTGTATTTTTCTTTGTTCAGAGTGAGAATTAAAACATTTCAGTTGAGACTCACTATTGAGTGTCCCTCAGCGCATTGTTTTGACATTCATGCCAACAATTCACTATTCTGATTAACCCTCACTGTTCTCATAATTTAAGCAGAACAAGGACGTTTTTCATGTAAAAAAACATTCTTAAAAAAAGAGTGTACAATACCTGCTTAGCACCAAGTGGAAGACGGACAATGGAAGTGGCTAACTGGTGAACAGAAGCGTTTCGGCAGATTTTTTTTTCAGGAGACCATCATCAAAAACTGAATTTACCCTCAACAGCAAAAGTGATGACATAAAACAGAGCTACAAGGACAATTAATGCTTTACTTGCATTTATCAGTTGGCCGCAAACACGTCTCCAAATAAATGTTTACAAGTGCAATGTCTCGATTGGTAACTGTTGACTCACATTAAATCAACTTTTACACAGATTATATGATTTAGCCAACAAATAGTTGCTGTCACTGTTTTCATTCATTTTGACATTTTGGTGTATGTACATATGAAACATAACATGATACAATTTGCAATTAAAGAAATCATTTTGATGTTAAAATAAAAAATGTACAGTAAACTCCACAGTTCTTCCATAGGAAATGGTTCAAAACAGAGCAAGGCACAGGTACATTTTCATTCAGTCTGCCAAATTATTATGAGAATGTAAGTTCTGTCAAATCAGTTTTATACTAAATGATTACCACGAAGCAGTGGTCACTGGTCATTAGGGGCACAGCCCCACCTAGTGTCAGCAGAAAGTGATTCAAATAATAATTTTAAAAAAAATGCAAACAAAGGCAAAATAAATACATCTTAAAATATATTTTAAGATCATGTTTAATCTTCTGATTCGTCTGTACATTGCTGTTTTAGTCTGTGTTCTTCTAATTAGTGTCTACAGTGTGCCTATTGAGCCATTTTGTGCGACCTGGGTCAAGCCCCGATCTAGCCCCTCTCTCTCACTGTCAAAGTGAATGGTTGCTTTAAAAACTACACTGCGCTCAGAGTATTTTTCTGTTCAATGTGTGCGGCAAAAAAATAATCACCATAGGGGCTCTGTGCTGACATACCTACCAAACGTCATCTCATAATTCAGAGAGCTTATTGGCTTTAAGCAGTACTCAAGTTGTAAAAAAAAATCAGGGGGGATGCTTGTTTTTTATCATATGGGGACATAATTTGTGCTGATAACCCGCCGAGGGTGGGAGACCAACCAGCATAAAGATAATTATTATACTCCTAAAACAACATGCATGTTATGGATGTTCAGATACTCCTTTCATTGCTCTTGACCAAGGCACCTCAGAATTAGAGTCGGTCCCTTGGCTGCCATGGCACCACTAACATTTAGGGTCAAATGCAGAGGACAATTAATGCAAAATATTTTGTTCACTTTAATTTAAAGGGGGGGAGGGGATACAAAAATGTGGTTATAATGGAAGTCTATGGTACAAATCTTGTAGGTTAACAGTCCCTCATTTATTATTCAGATGGATCAGCTGATTACACTAATAATAAAGTCAAAATAGTTTTTAGAATATTGAATTATAGTGTATTTTTTCAAAAAAGCAGTTACTGGTATACGATCAAAACTGGTATCTAAAGGGTTACATTTTTATCGTAATTAATTAAATCATTATGTAAATTCTTCATGTGAGGAAAAAAATTAGAAAAAAATTGATCGGTCATCATTTTATTGCAGTTCAAATACAAATATTTTATGTTAACATTCCCAATGTTACTTTTTTTAACAGGGCATTAAGTGCAAATTGAAATTGTTTACAAAATATGAAAATATATTAAAAGATTATACAGATAATACAAAATAGGACCAATGTTGTCAATGGCTGCCTACTCCACTCTCCCCCATCTCATAGAAGTTTCCAAAGATTTTCATAATCATGCTTTTTGGTCTCAATTTTTCTGGCTCTTGCTTTCGGATTGTTAGCTAAGCAATGGCTTTGAAGCCAAGTCTTGACATATACATCTGGTCTGAACTTGTTCAGTGGAGGGCCAACACACTTGATGAAAAGCAAGGCTGACATGCTTTTTACCTCTAGGGAGCTTCTAGTTGTGGTTAAAATGTTCATTTGACTAAACCCACGTTCACACTCAGCTGTGGAGATGACCAGAGTGTTCACTGCTTGAAGGAGGGGTTTCAGCTCTTCTGGTGCTGGTGGTATCATTGCATCAACAGTTTTGAGTCTTACCAGCTAGCTAACACGAGAGAAAAACGTATAACTCCACACTAAGTTGTTATTGCTGCTTATGTCCATAGATTCCACCTTTGGTGACTAAAGTAGTGAGTAATGACTAAGATTACTGACTCTTGACTGACCTGAAATGTTATTTTTTAGTATTTTTAAATATGAAGTCCCTCAGATCGCGTTGTCCTCCTGGTCACTTGGCCATTGTGATGACAGTTACCTGCGCTTCTGGCATCGATCAAACAGGCGCATCACGGCGCTCTGGCGCACTCTAGGGCACTCGCATAGTATAGCATCAGTGACTTGGTAAACATGTCATTGCGTGTGTGCGTGCTCCCTCGCTCACAGTATTTTACTCAAAATGCGCAAAATTAATGTTGAAATAGCAGTAATACCAGTGCCACGTTCATTGATAAAATTACATAAGGGATGGAAAGGGGGAATGGCAGTTTTAGAAGGGGGATGATTTTGACCGTTTTTATTTCAGGGGGGATGCCATCCCCCCTCATCCCCCCTCAACTCGAGTACTGGCTGTTGTTTGTGAAGAGGAGACAAGAGAGCAGCATATAGCGATTAAAATCAGTAAAACGGAAAGAAAATGAATGAAGTTGACCATCTAATTCAGCTTTGGTAAGTTCATTTTATGTCATATCTTTTGTTGATCTTCTGTGTTTTGCCTATAGGCTATTGCTCTGCTGGATCGATTGATATTGTGACCTCTGTGATGAGTGTCTGTGTTTTCCTCATACCCCCCCCCTCTCTTTATCGCCTACAGCTATTTCTTTACGTGTTTAACCTCTTCTACACCGCCCCCCGATACCGGGGGGAAAAACGCGTCATCTGCAGGAAACAGTGTCCGAGGGCATCTTAATATTTAAAAAAGCACCAGAAGCTTATACATCTAAGTTGTTCGTGCCCCACCACTTTTGTACATATAAAAGAAGGCCAAGAAGGCAAAGAAACTGTGAAATTAAAATCTTAAATATATTTTAAAATAACATATTAACAAGATACATTTTCATACTGACCTTCTACTTCTGATTTATTTTTTAAGCCCACGACGGTAAATCCACACCAAAAATGTACCAATTTCCCAGCCTGTCCTCCTACAAAAACGACCAAATAGGTCGATTGTTTAAGCACCTTAGATTACGATCCATAGCCAGGGCTGCACATAACTGGTGCGCAGGTGCGCATCCTAATTTTCGATCTTGATGTAACAACATTCATAATTAAGTAGATGTAACACCCTTTTCACCCCGGTTACACGTTTCATTTGCCCTGTACGATGGGCGCTGTAAGTGATGAAAATGGGGGCTGTTGGCTTATCTGGCACTCACAGCCAAAATGCGAGGGAGAGAGGGAGGGTGCACCGGTTCCGGCGCAGTTGTTATTAGAATCTGGTGCTAGCTGCTCTAACGGATATAAGAAGAAGATGTTTCTACAATAATGTGGATGAGAGCTCTCTCCAGTCAGACTGAGAGGCTGATAACTACAGCTCAGTGAGGTAAAGGACTCTTGAGTGTTTAGATAGTTCACTTTAGTCTAAGTTATCTCAGTGGGTCTCAAACGTTTTGATCACAATTTATGTAAACACATATTTCCAAGGCACTCCTTTATAATTATTGGGATAAACAGGTTTGAAATCATTCCAATGTATACTATAGGACAGTAACCAAAAATATTCTTTAAAACTGGAGAGATAAAAAAATAATGCATAAATAAATAAATGTTAAGGTAAAATAAGATATGAACAACAAAAATAAAATAAGTTACATTAATTTGTTATTGGCTATCGTAGGTTATTGGTTATGTTCACATACTTATTTGATTACATCCACTTGTCTAAGATGACAACAGAGACTTTCGACCCAAAACCAGCTGTTGACTTGTGGATGCAAGCAGCTAATCGCAGACTCAACCAGAGAGAAAGTAGTAGGCCTACATCATCAGCTACCATGTCTGACAGAGAGGAAGACAGTCAGGAGAACAGTCAGGAGGGTAGTGATGACAGCTTGTAGGATTACTGCTCGTGCTAATGTTGTCTTGTGTTCACCTCTGCATGTGTGTTCTGTGTTCACCTCTGCATGTGTGTTCAGTGCCGTGTGTCTGGCAAATAAAGACCCCCTCAAAAGTTACGGTTTATTTCATTTTAAGGATGAGCACCAAGCAACATCTCCACGTGCTCCTTTGAGAACCAGGGCAAAAAAGTTATGTGCACCCCTGTCCATAGCCACGTTTTAAAGTATAGCACCTCTAGTGGTCGTGTAAGAAACAACATGCTCCCGTTTATTCACAAATATCCCTCTCTGGAAAATCCTAAATTGCGGAATAGTTTGGCCATTAAAATGCTTTTTGATTAGATTTCTAGCGAGAAGTGTATATTGTACTTTTAGAATCCACGTCCAGTGGATGTGTAGGATCTATAGTTTGATAGATATTACGAAGATGATTTGAGGTCTCGCCAGGATAACGTGTATGCAGCTTCCATGTAAAGTTAGCGTGGGTGAAAACAGTTT